CTTAAGCGCCCGTGTGGTATGACATGGTTCAGAACTTAGGTAGTGCCTCCAAACATTTGATGCCTGTGGCTTATGCCATGCTTATGCCATCAAAGCATGGCGAGGCATCGCCGCAGCCCATGCCTTCACCACGTTGAAGTGGCAGCTACAAAGTAAGCCCAGAACAATCTAGACAGCCACCCCCACAGGTATCACAAAACAACTAGCACCATCTCTGCCAATTTCGCAACTCGCAAGCCTGCGCATGTGCCTTCTTCTGTCGCAGCAGGGCCCTCAGTTGAATGCGAATCCGACTCCAAGCTGAGGCAAACAAGCGGAGAAGACAAAGCTGCAATGTTGCTAGCCTGAACTTTCGAACCATTATGTTTTGGTTGCTTAAGCACTGCTTTGAAACCATGGCGATCGTCACAACATCTTCCTAAATTCCTGATCATGTTTCGGCAAATTTCAGGGGCGGCTTTCAACATGCGGGCTTGTGTCCTTTTTGATGGCCCCTTTTCAGGTCATATTTGATTATCCCCATTTTGACACATACCCATGTATGTTGCTTCCAAAAAGCCACGCCCATGCACCAAGCTGCTCACTGCTGTGGCTTTATGATGTCGCCCATGGACGGCCATGCGCCAGAGAAACCCCATTGGTGCCCGTTGCGAAGCCTTAGCCGAACTCAGCTCCAGGCCCCGAAGCCAGGCCTTACGGAGCAAGGGCACTTGCGCAACCTACAGCCAGAAACCTGGGTCGCGCCCGGCAAAAGGAAAGCAGCAATTACTTACTATTAGCTTTTGAGAGAGCTGCTTGACTTTAGGACATACCTCCACCACCGGTGTTGGTCGTTATAATTCTGCGCGCATGACATGCCACACAGCAAACCTCTGGGGTGCATGCCAAGGAGGGCCACACTGAGCAAGCGCCACATTGCCTGTCAGTCCAGTTTGAGAGATCCACAGAATGGGTTCTGTCTTGCCAGCGCAGCTGGTACGGAGAGAAGCCCTTGAAAAAGTTGCTTAGACATGGAAGGCAACGTGGAATTCCCCTAATCAGGCTTGTGTGTCCAACAATATGTTTTGGCTTGTTATTGTTACCTACAATTGTTTATTTCCCATGCTGGTGACTCTAGCACCGTACCTGCCGATGAGGGCCATTGCATGTCTCTTGCCGAAGTGATAATGCCTGAACTTGATCGAAACTTCGCGCCGCTGCAAGTGACAAAGGCATCCATCGTATGCATACTTGTCGGACAATTTGTCACTTATCCCCTCCACTAGAAGGGATGGTGATGCTATCCAAAGTACCTGGGAATTGCAATTCGCCTCCCTCACAGGTTGGTTAGCACCCGTGTTTGCCCTCATAGCCAGAAGCCTGCTGCACTTCTTGGCAGAGTTGCACTGTGACAGGATGAATGGAATTACAAGGCCAATGACTTGGTGTAGACTGACGGTTTGACGCAAAGCAGCTTGTAGGTGATCTTGAAACGCTGCAAACAAATCATTAAGACCCACGTAACTATATACTTCCTCCCGCACGGACACACATCCATAAACTCCATTCTACGCCTGTCAATCTACTTGCTCTGTCCAAAAGGGCACGCAAATCCTTGATCGCAGGAGCGATCCCCTACAATCACATGGTCCAAACGTACCAGCACCGTCCGTCCTGGTTATGCTCTGTTTCAGGAAGCAACTGACAACGCCACACACCAAGAAGTGGAGTTTGTGCAATTGTTCAAAACTGGTTCCCCAGCTACACGCCCTCAAACAAGGATCATCCCCAAGGGAGGCAAGCTTGCCGAATTGGTCCTGTGAGCTTGCATGTCTGCCTGACAAAAGGCGGTGTGCTTAATGGGTATTAGCGGACCCCTCCTTGTCTCAGGCTGTGCTCTTCATTGGCACGGAGTTCCGCCGTGCGGCTGACGGGCCTGAAGCAAGACCCGCCCTCCGCAAAATGACACATGAGTACATTCATGCTTTGCACTCCCTTGACTTCTGAGTTGGAAGGACATGAAAGCAGGCATGATATGCTTGACCAGGTCAGTCAGCTTATTGCAGCACGTTCGGGCAACTCTCTAAACTCTTGGCTGGGAGATTGCCTGGCATGAGTGTAGGAAGAGCCTCGGGTGGAACCACAATTCAAGGATCATCCAATTCGGACCCTGGGTTTTACATTGAATGTAGTAAAGCACACGAACTCGGGTTTCATGTCTATCCGCCGACATTGCGAAGGAGCGTCGGATACTTAAGAGAGGATAGAGGATAACCCCCCCTTACCCCCCCGCCCGACGTCTGACGGATCCCCCACGTACCGCGCGGTAATCTGATGACGTTCCACTAAAAATAGTCTTCGGGGAGCCGGTGTCGCAAAACAGGGGTCCCAGCTCGAATCCCCTCCTGGCTCTTTGCTGGTTCGGGCTTTCCGCACTCCTTTTGCCGAAAATCTGGCAAATATCTGTGTGTTTGACATCATTTTTGCAAACACGTAGGAAAACACGTGTTTGTTTTTTTCAGGAAAAAATCCGGGGAGCGAAGGGAAAATGCGAGGAAGTGCAGGGAAATGAGGGGAGAAAATAAAGGGATATGCAAGGACATGCAGGGGACAGGAAGTCGACATGACAGGACAGCAAAGGGAAATGAAAGGGAAACGACAGGGAACTGAAAGGGACATGAAGGGGAAAGAAATGCAAACAGGGGGAGTCAGGGGGGGACTGAAAGGCAAACAAAGGACAAGGAAACCCCAAAGGACACGAAGGGAGATGTAGGGAAATGACCGGCAATGAAGGAAAAAGACATGCATGGAAAATGAAGCGGACATACCGAGAAAATGTCAGGGGCCTGAAGGGGGAATTGAAAGGAATGGAAGGGGACATGACGAGGACATCCTCGAAAAATGACGAGACATGAAAAAGACATGAAGGGGAAATCAAGGGGAAATCCAGTAGTACGCAGACAATTCAGGGGTCGTGAAGGGGCAGTGCGCGGGAATCGAGGCAACTCAGGGGGACGTGACGTCAGAGAAAGAGACCGAGCGAGAAAGTGACAGAGCAGGAGACAGAAAAAAACACGGAGAAAGAAACAGAGAGAGAGAGACTGAAAGAGAGACAGAGCGGAAAGAGAGAGGAAAGAGAGATGAAAGAGAGGCAGCGACCCGGGGGGGGGGGGCGGAGACACGAGGTGGGGACAATGAGGCATAGCGAGGAGGTAGAGAAAGATAGAGACATAGAGAGGAGGGAGAGAGAGAGCGAGAGAGAGAGGGAGAGAAAAGAGACAGAGAGGGAGAGAGAGAGAGAGAGACAGAGAGAGAGGCATAGAGAGGAAGGAGAGAGTGAGACAAAAAGAGACAGAGAAGCGGAGAGAGAGACAGAGAGAGAGAGAGAGAAAGAGAGAGAGAGAGAGAGAAAGACGGAAAGAGAGGGAAGGAGAGAGAGAGAGAGAGAAAGAGAGAGAAAGAGAGAGCGAGAGAGAGAGAGAGTGCGAGAGTGAGAGACAAAGGATTGGGAGGATGGGGAGGATGGGGAGGAGAGAGACAGAGAGGGAGAGAGGCCGAGGGAACACACGGGGGAGGAGAAAAGAGAGAGAAGAACCAGGAAAAAAGGGAGAGGCCAATGTCGGCGGACCGAGCCGGAGGCTCTAAAGCATACAGCATGTATGCCACGCCTGCGCGCTACCGCAGCGCAGCAGGCTGAAATGGACAAAACGGCAGCGGGCAAGTGTAGGTCAGGTGGCTCCACACATCAACCAAAAGCCATCATGTCCCAAAGTCAGCAAACGTCTGTTTCAGGCGTCTTTCTGAATGCTTCAGCTGCACCGCAAAAACAACACCCAATTGTACCAATCTTTGCTGTTAAGCAAAGACAGGAAAAATGAATGCAATGGCCTGATGTAGCTTCAGCAAGTCCAGAGCGTTCCACGTGGCAAGCCACATCACGTGTTACTCGGGTGTCTCAAGGGGGATCACTTGACAACCTTTCAACCTCATTGAGAGCCAGCAAGTGCCGCTTGTGCACCACAATGCCTCTTGCACGTGGATGACATTTTGCTCTAAACGCAAGCACACATCGAGCCCGGGCGAGGCAACGGGGAACAGAGCGGCAGGGAGTCGACCTCTTTCTCTCTCTCTCTCTCTCTCTCTCTCTCTCTCTCTCTCTCTCTCTCTCTCCCTCCTTGCGCCCTTAACTACAAGATTGCTTCAAATATTCCACTAGGCCACCTTAATCCAGGAGTTGTCCCAGGCTTGGCAGAACCAAAGCTTCATGCATGCCGATTGATAAACCAATGGATGAGACAGAAGGACTCGTATTTCAGTTGCATAAGCTCGAGACAGCTTGTAATTCATGTCGTGACAATAAATTGCTCTAGGCTCCAGGCATCCAATGTACAACACATCCACGCCAAAGCGTATCTGTGAAACACTACACGGCGGCTTGGACCGAAGAGCCACAGGAGTTTCCTGAAGAGCACCAACCCACTAAATTGCAAGTCGACAATAAGCAGCGCCAAAAACCTGTTTAGTCTACCAACATGGCAATAACTAATGGCCAACAGCGGTTTTCGGCTCTGCGCAAACAAGCACGTTGAGCCGCAGGCAATTTGCTGACAAACATCTTTCAGCGCATAGTGCGGTGGTGAAACAACGTCCAAGGGACAACAAGTCGGTCATAGTTCGACTTTGTCGCCAGGACTGCGTACCTGGGCAACGGGCGAAACCGTCCACATGGTGTCATACAACTGTATGTTTATATCCGTGGACGTGTACATGTATGTATTGTGTGTATGTTGTTGCCATTGTACTAGTATGTGTACAAGCCACGAATTCGTGTGAGCACGGGGGTTCCGGACAGCTGATGTCACAGTTGCTCAACACCTGGCAGCCTTTCCAGCCTGAAGCGCGTCTGTGAGCAATGTTTGCCCTGAATCCATCTTTTTGCCTCAGCTCCTGGCTATCTATAGTTTCCACCTTGGCTGACAACAAACCAATGGGCTCTCTGTTGGCACGGCTATCGCCAGTTTCAACGGGCTTTCAACCAATTGCGCGATGCGCGCCTCGGTTCGATCTCATCCTGATGTAGCAAAGTACGGACACTCGGCTGGCAGGAACATGCCACCAATACCGGCCACCTAGGACCAGGTTTAGAAATATATTCCTGTACAGGATGCAGACTGTGAGTCTGTGCTGGACTCAGCTCTTTCAGAACTGAACCAAGACGAAGATTGCGTGCGGCTTGCACACTCATCCAAACTCGGGATTAACAGTTGCAAGCCCGGTCTAATTTCTCATAATACACCTGTTTTCTTGAGCACGTCAACCGCCAAAGCCTGATTGCCTGAGTGCAAGTGTTGCATGTCACACACATAGATGCACATCACTTGTCGCTTCTTTTGTTGACAAACTCGTGTGGGTTTCATCAGAAGCCAGAAAGATTTCGCTCGACTACAGTGATATCCGAATGGTAGCCACACCAAGACACGGCTTGATGCATAGGCCAAACAAGTCAAATGGTTCCAGAACGCATCAGTGTGCCGAACGAGTGAGCAAGTGGCTGGCCAAGAAAACAATGCGGGTCCACGCCGAAACCAAGATTCCTGAGCAACTAGGATGTAAAGTGATGGCCGGAAGAGCACACGGAGCTGTTGAAATCAACATTCTGCATACGCAATGCATGCCTGAAAATCCAACGCTACCAACCTGAGTTCCTCAAACTGTTGTGTGTGGGATCGATGCATTCAAGCGAAAGGTTCCAGCGACGGGGTAGCCACGGCACTCAGAATCCAGACGCTGGCGCCGATGGCCAAGAGCATCGCAAGGCCTGATGGCAACTGACTGCAGCAGTGATCTGAAGAAATACAGGTCTCTTCCAAAGTGCAGACCGTCAAACCGCGATGCAATGAAAAGCAAACATATCGATCATACAATGCTGCATACTAGTCATGAATGGTCCGTCTCGAACACCAAGATCTGTGTCCTGCTGCATGTTGCGAGGTTGGTAATTCTATGGGGGAGCAGCGTGCGATAGACTGGCTTTGTTCATTTCAGGCAAAGAAGTTCTTGGCACCCCTGCAGAAATTCCCTCAACTTAGCAAAGCAATTCTAGAGCCCTAGGCTGCAATTTAATCCAAAGGACCTCCTATCCCGCTGTTTGGTATTGACCAGTGACACAAGCTCACTTGATCTTACGCACCACCTTGCCCAAAATATATCGGTTTGTTACCAGTGTTCGCTTGTCTGGTGAATCCCTAGACGCGTCGCCTCTGCATCGCGTTTGGACCGACCGGGGACTGCTCTGCTTCTTACTGGCGGCAGGCAACAGGTCTTCAATCTATGCCTCGGGCCAACCTGCACAGCCTGCACCGTAAGCTAAACTGCCAAACTCTGCCCAGATGCCACCGCGAGATCCGCACACCTCGGAAACATGATTATTTGCAGTGCTCGTTTGCTTGCTATGAAAGATGGCATCTGAATTACCCGTTCGCCCATGCGTCGGCTCTGCTTTGCGGTTCCTGTGAATCCCAATATACCCCCTGACTCTTGAGGGCCGGCCCAACAGGCTGCTAGATCAGCGTTCAAGCCTTGTCCTTGTGGCCCAAAGAAAAACTCAAACATATAGATCGGTGAGACACACAAACACCAGCAAAAGTCACCATACATATTGCCAGACTGCATGACAAATGGATCATCCGATCATCCTGTCATCCATCCTGTTTATTTCTGAGGCTCAACAGCCTTTGGGGGGGTAACATGGCACAACTGAGCACGCAGAGTCGTGTGCATGATTTCGCTTGGGTTTCGCCTTTGCTGCCCAGTGGCAACACGAGCATCCCAGCCCCTTTCAGCACGGACTTGGACAAAGAGCAATGGCGGAAAGACCATTGCCATCCTGAGAGATGGCGAGTAGCACTGACTTGACCTGTCGTCCTAGTAACCTCAGCTAGCCTTGTCATTTGAACATGACACATCAAACAATATATGTATGTCATTCAGTCGTTCAACGGAAGCGACCTGGCCAATTTGTGCATCGCCTCGATGTACAGTCACGTCCCACAGCAGTGCATCAAACCACATCATCTTCAACGTGTATTTGACCGACGGTTCAAGACGTGTGATTGTGTACATAGTCAATGCGAGTGAAGAACAGGAGTGGAATTGCATGAGCCAAACTACTTGTGCGTAACTTTACATGGCATGCCAGGTATGATATCCACGACAGCATGGTGTCAACGCCAGATGATTGAAGTCACCAAGTAGGCAACACTTGAACGCGTGTACTTCTAGTCAGTTCAGCACGATTGTGAAGAGCCACTGGTCCAATTCAAATGCAGAGGTTGCCAATGCATGGCGGAGATAGGCTCAGCGAAAGGGTCAATGTCTCACGAAAACCAACTGGCAGCACCCGCGCTGTGCAACCCGCAAGTACACGCAAGAAAACGCCTCTTGCAGCTTGGGATCAGCGTGGAGCAAAAGCCTCCACCAAATCGAAGGCAAAGAGATAAGCCTACCGAGCGGAAGCAGGCCGCGCTTCGCAAATGACAACCTGCGTGTGCTAACTTCTAAGCTGGGCAAAATCATGGCAGTCGACAAATATCTGATGACACATTCTGTGCTAATCCACGATTCACGTTGCGACCAAGGGCAAGAGCAAATAACCTATGCAAGAGACTTGGCACCCCAAAACAAGCTGCCGATAGCTGCCGTATTGTTCACTGGTTACTGGGTGTTCATGCTCCAAGCAAACATTACCGACACGTCAATGTCAAACTGACTGTGGCTCAGAAGCCTGACATATTCGGGGATGCACGGGCACTGGTCGAACATCCGCTGAATCTCTTGAAGGGCCCTGGCTTGGTTTTGTGCCTTGCTGCAGGCCTTGGCCCTCAAACAAACATCCTACTCTGTGATCGTGAATCCAGCCTCCCAGTTTTTGTGCTCCTTGGGCGGTCCTTGCATTCAGATCCAGTCAAGACACGGAAGCGTGCTTCTCTGAAGCATGATCCAAAAAGAACTGTCTCAAGGAAGTATCAATGAATGTCAGTCATCTTTTCTATTTCCTGGATGAACATGCCTTGCTCCACGCCTATGCACTGGCTGGCTGGACATCTGGCCAAGCCACATGAGCAGAAAGATGTTGAGACTGACTGTCACAGCCTCAAGGAAACTCTGTGCTTGACCACAAGCCCAAAATTGCCTTACTGCAAGAACAATGGGTCAGGCGTTCATCCAGTCGTCCGTCAGGACGAATCCGCACGAATTGCAAACAAGCGGCGGCAAACACTTTGAAACTCGCCTCTCTTTCCAGCTCGTCCTTGCCCAACAAGACCTTCATCAGCACATTCCTCCGCTACACGTTGGCCATGTTTGGTGGAGGGTCCCGCTGAGAAGCACTCCCTCCAAATCATCACTGCAGTGTCCCAACAACAAAATGGTTTTGGAAGAGTTTCCTGGGACTAGGGGTCGCTGGACCGGCGTCATGACAACCTCATCGTCAAGAAGGGTTAATACTAATACTATGCTGGTTTGATGGCAATCTGCTTTGCACACGTTTGGCGCGCAGGACCAGCGCCCCCAAAACCACCTAAAAACCCGAATGCTTAGGCACGTCTAGGGCCGCAAATGGGCGCCTAAACAAATCTCCTCATATTCCCTGAAACATCACAAAGACAAAACTCTGAAAGTGTAAGAAAAGGTGATGACTAGCTCAAAAGGCACGGACCACTTGTTCGCATTCCCCTTGCGCCGGAGACTTTGTTTGCTGATGGTTGGCTAATGTGTCAGTTTCCTACTGGGTACCAGGCGCAGAGTTGGCATGCTGGGTGGGGTTTAGCAAGTTCAACAATTGGACAGGTGGAGAAAAGGCAAAGCTCTGTTAGTGCTAGTGCGGACCCAAACTGGGTGCGGTTCAAACATGTATTTAACTTAAGTCGCTAAATTCACATTCTGTCTGCCGTATCATCTAGGGATGCTACATGCAAAACCACTTACTTGATGTCGAAACCAAGCAGCTCAAGAGCAGCTGTGCACGTCCATGTTGGTACAAGAAACGCCAAACATCTGACTTGTTGGTTGAGTTGGAAAAAGGGTTGGTGACGACATCACGACTGAAACATCTGATGAATCGGCGGCCGCGGAGCCGTAGCGGAAACACCATGAAGATGTAGGAGATAAACACCTGACTCACTGAGCTTGCTCAAACATCCAGACATACAAAATGTGGAGATAACATTACTTGAGCTCACTTCCAGTTCACCCATTGTCACCATGGCGTCGGGTCTCTTTGAAACTCCCGGGGCAGGCAATTAAACTTCATCTGTCTTGTTTGCGGCGAAGGAGCCAGCACAAAGCCGCACCTCAAAAAGCAAAGATTGCTGATTCGCAGCGCCCAAGCCACTGCTACTGAGTAAGGACAGGACTCAGGCATCTTGGAACCAGAATACTCTAAGAGCCGCTTTAAGAGCCGATCAACATATTCAATAAATCATGTGCAGAACAGTTGATTTGTGAGCAGTTGCCATGTCTGATAGCTGCAAGGAAAGCATGGCTGGCATGCGCAGTGATGCACGTGTGATGCGTCGCTTGACATTCAAATAATTGCTGCTGGCATCTCAAGAATGTGAGGATCATCATTCCACACTTTCACGTGGCGGAAAGTTCAATCCGGGCACTGCACTCTGCAAGCACCATGCTGCGAACACCCACATCCATACTGCGTGTGCCGCCAGGCGACCATCTTGCCACCTGGTCTACTGGCCGCTGGCCTATCACGCAAGAGTTCGCACGAAAAGTCGCACAGCTAGTTGGCTAGTTCTTGCACGTCAATTACTCAAGCATACCCGAAGCAATGCGGCCTATGGTTGTCAACGCGCTGTCTGTCGTCAAGTCCCTGAAGCGCAGGTAGACAGAGTGCCCGAAAAGGGCGGAGATAACCTTGCACAGGCAACTCCGAAACAACAGAGCCGCGACAAAATATGTTCGTGCATACTGAAACATCTTGCATGTTCGCATTGTAAGCACATCCTGAAGCATGGGTAAACTCCATACATTGAATGCAAGCTGCGTACAACATGCTAAAGACCAAGCCCGTGATGCGCCGCACATTCTCCCAGGAGTTGTCTTGCAGGGACGCCTTGGCCATGCAGGGAGAGAATCCAAAAAATGGCCGGGCACATGTGAGTGGTCTCCTGTCTTCCCTTTAGAGTCCATCCAAAAGAAAACATCCAGTCTGGACCCGAAATGGGAATGCCCGGTTCACCTCTGACTCGTCTACAAGGATTGAACAGTTGCAAACTAATAGGTGTTGGCGAGGAAAATATTGATTTAGCCTGACTATCATTGTCATACGAAACGGACAACTGACAACTTGAGGCGAAATTTACAGACCAAGATATCTTCATGGTTTTTACATGTCAGCGACCATTGTAAATGGTTGGGTTGTTCGTAATGTGTACACATTGTGACATGTTCAACATACCTTTGTGACAGTTGCGACTGTAGATTCTGCAAATGTTACCATGCTTCGAAACCCTGAACTAAGGCAAGTACAGGAGCTACTTGGTGGGCTCTGTGCTCGCTTTCCCCCAAGGCCCCCCAGGTAACTCTGTGCCGCTCTCAGGGCACTCTTGAGTCTCCGCAGGGAACGAGTCTGCTTCCGGCCCTTCGGCCGGGGCACTAGAATCACTGGCGCCGATGCTTGGGTTGAATAAGCCAGTAGCACCACGGGCGCAACCTGGCACAAAAGGGGGCTTCGTATGGCCAAGTCAAACTTGCGCTTGGACTCTCATGGGCTATGACCTATGCCTCGTTTGTCTGTTTCTCCAGAGGATCCAAGTACTTTCTGAGGATCTGAAGGGACCCAAAAAAGGTCAAAGTACATCGAAACCAGGTACTTTGGACCCTCTGACTTTGAGAGCCCATCGTCCTTGATGACCTTTGAAGGGGTCAGGTCCCACCATAGGATGCTGCCCGGCTCCGCTCCTCGAAAGCTTGAGAGTCATGGCAGCGTCGCTCACGCTCTCAGTAGACAAAACCGGAGACATGCAAAGAGACGCAACAAAACAGCCAAAAACCCACACACAAAATGAACAACTGCAACAAAAACAAACACGAATCGAGAGAAGCAAAATGCAAACATGGTTTCAGACCCGGATTCAAAAAGAGAGGCAACACGGTAAACAATCGCAAACGGATAAGCACACAGAAGCCTTGCAAAACACAGTGATTCACTCAAAGAAAGTCTGAGGTCAGGCTGGCATGATGCAGAGACACACAGTAAGACGCCCGAGGCACTTTGAAGCAGCAAGCGACACAGACTCATAGAGAGACATGGAGTGACACAAACAAATGCCATCAAGATATACACAGAGACAAAATGAGGCACGCAGAGACGCTGTAAGGCAACAAACAAAAGGTATCGGTCTTCTTCTTTCGCGGCTAGTGCAACTAATAACTAATAATGGCAAAAAAAAACAACATGTTTCCGGTGCAGCTGTCAAACAGGTTGCCATAGCCCGTGTTCGATCGTTTTCGTTCTCACCAGTGAGTCTGGGAGACGTGTTCTGATCATTTGGGCATCGGGGACTTAGGAATCGAGAATCTCCTGAGGGCATAAAGTGCCAATATTATGCTGCTGTTGAAAGCAACGTTATTTTACCCAGGGTCGCAAAAAAGAACCCGCACCAAAGATGAAAGACACACTCAGCCGTGATGCTGAGTGCGGGGTCAATGTGATCCTACGCCACAACAAGACGGGCAGCGTCCAATCAGCAGCGACAGCCAGCTGTGTTGCACAATACGTCCTTAAAAACATAGTGCGAAGCGCGCCTTTCCGCTGCTGCAGCCCAACAAAGTGACTTTTGTCAGTGCAAGTGCCACCTGCAACTTGGAAGCTCCAGCCCAAAAAAAGTTAACTGCTCAGTACATGTGCAGTACACGACCTGCAATTTGGAAGCTCCAGCTCGAAAGTCACAAATAGCGGTACACCTGCAGAACACGCACTTTGGAAGGCCCGGCCCTGAACTGGTTGAATCGTTGGCGCCTACGAAATGCAGCCTACACGAATCTTCCTGACTTCGAATTCAGGACACGACGTACTTGAACATTCGGGAATTCTCCTCTCTCTGCCATACCTACTCTCATTCCAACTAGCTTGTGCCACACCTTTCATACAAGAGCACATGTCGACGCCAACAATTCAAATGGTCGGCTGCGCACTACTACGCAAGGGTTAAACACGAGCCCCCTGCGAAATTCCTGCGCACGCTGTGGCCGAAGATATGGGGCTTCTTCCCTGAGAAGAACGCTGCACGTGAACCCCTCGCCATCTTTACTGAACCTTCGAAGTCTCAGCTGAAAGTTGTTCAAAACTGCGAGAGTTCGAGCCAAAAACATCGCAGGCTTGCAAGCAAAGCCATCACGTTATCGTGGTTCATAAACAATGCAATTATGAAGATAAAGGTTGGCCAAGCAAGTCTTCCAGCAAGCAATGCCATTCAGGTGGGAAAAAATCTGCAATCAATCGGTTTCCTGCCTGGCGAACCAAGCTACAAACAATGCTTCTCTGCCAAGTCGCCCATGTGGTCAACGTAGGTGATGCCGTTGAAGTAGTCCCAGTAGCATGGGATAGCAATGGCCATCAATTGAAATATTGCTGCCTTGGGTTTAGTAGGGCTAATGCTTATCGCCTGTGGCCCAAATACGACATAGGCTCTGCACCTTCTCTGCACGCTTCATACCGGAAAAAAGGAGCTTGCAGTAAACATCCCCCGAATGGTCATATGTATACATATATATATATATATGATCCATGAAACGAGACAATTGTGCTGCAAAAGCAAGCTAGCAGAACTCGTCTTACCTCCTTGAAGGACCAACAGCAATGTAGATGTTGTATTCATCCGCGTCGCAAAGGTCGCCACGGTCGACAGCACCGCTATCCTCTTCAAAGACCTGCGAATCTGAAATCTGAGACGCGCAAGCTGAAACCGTGACACACCGAGCCGAGCCCGGGACCTGATCAAGGTGAAGGGGGCGAGAAATGCCATCCCCAAGGCAATGGCTTTGGGGGACTCCTCAGGCCTCAGTCACGGACCATGCTGCCGCCTTTGAAACAGGCGAAACGGCAATGATCTCAATTGTGCAACAAGCTCTGTGTGTCCATCGAGTACCATCCAATTGTTACTGTGGGATTCTCAAGACTCCAACTAAGAAACACTGCCAGCAGCCTATTCAGCATCCCGCTCGAAATGGCCGAGAAGCTCCCAGTCAAAGCCATCCAGGAGTACAGCTCCCACTGTAACCACCTCCACAGTCAGCACAGCAATGCGTTTCAAGCGCAAATAATAGAAATAATAGCCCAACTGGAGCAATTTGCTGGTGCACAAGAACTGAGCGATAGGATGATCCTTCCTTCACGGTCCATGTCATCCAAATCAGAGCCACTTTCAAGCAAATTTGGCAGAACAATCAACATGATGTAACTTGGCCGCCAAAACTCGCCAAACAAGCTGACCCCTATCAGTTTTTGTTCGTATTGGTTCAGGAAGCTGGGTTTCAGCATCCGCAATGCCTTGCTCGCTGCGCCACCCCGCTAAGACTCGGGCATAGGCGGTGCAAGTGATGCACATCCTGATGGGGAGGGTGCGGCAGGGCCAGCAAAAATACGAGTGCCACAACGACAAACATCGCACATCGATTGAGGTTGCACAACCGCTTGTTGCGTGATCGTGCTGCTCAACTGGTGCAAATGGCTTGCGATGTGTTGCATTTGCAAAGGGCCGGCAGCGTAATCAATCCTGTGCGGCAGTGATAGCGGCACTTCAACAGGGACGCTGTTGCACCAATGCTCTGGTTTACAAGCGTCCAAAACATGTGCTTTTGGTGATCCTGTTGTCCTCGTCTTCTGCTATGCACATTCATTGTGCCAAGAGTGTGATGGAGGAGCATTTGCTAAGCAGGCTGCCTGGCTTGCGAAACGTTGCTTGTGCAATACCAGGCACCGCTATTTCGTCCTTTGGGCACCATCCAAGCGTTGCCGCGTTTGTTTGGAACATCCTTTTGCTTTACTGGCAACCAAAGGTTGCAACGTATTGACTGACGGACAGAGTGCACACATGTAATCAATGTCGAAATTCAGCGTCTCATATCAGAAGACGTCTGGCAGGAACCAAAGCACATAGTGAAACCTGTACAATGCTACACGCAGTGCGACTAGAGGATCTTCAGCATCCCCTCACAAGGAGCCATCCAGCTACATCAAATTGTTCCTGAACACTTGGACATATTCAGAATAGCCTATGCCTATTCAGAAGGAAAGGGCCGGCAGCTACACGTGATGCGTTGGCAGCAGGTCTTCGCAACTGCATTTTGCCTATCGTTGCTGCACGCGGTACTCAAGTCTGTTGATCTCGAAACTGGAACATGTGTCACAAATGAAGACTTGGGATGCGGAGGAAAGGATGTCCAAGCCGATGTTCAGCCAAGCTTCGATGTGGTCATGATCGATGCCACAGCCCCAAAGCCCAGACGGCCAAAGCAAGCATCGGCCACATCTGGGTATGACCTGGGCTTCAAATGTCTCATGCCCCGCTTGCGCATTTCCATGGCTTTTTGAAACAGAGTTGAGCTTCCCCCTTTCACACCGATCAGTTTTGCACTGCATTGATAGCCGTGGGGGTGGGAAGATTAGATGCCAGAGTTGCATGAATGCCAGTTTCAGAGTGAAGCATCCTTTGAAAATAATTATAGGCAGCAGAAGTAGACAAGGCAAGAACGGGAGAAGACAGAGGGACACTTCACTGAGTTTGCTTGAGAACACCCTAGCCTTGCCACTGATGCCACAAAAACAGCTCAGTTGTAGCAGGAGATACTTCCAGAAGTCAATTTGCCATCTCGGACTCTGCGACTCAGCATCCGACACCTTCACCCGCGCCAGTTGGCAGGACCGGAAGATCAGGTGCAGCGTGTATCCTAGGCCAAATTCCACTTGTAACATCATCGTTGCACGAACGGCTATGCACATTTGAGAAGGCCCAAGTTCGAGCTACAGTGAATCCAAACAAAGACCAGGAGCAAGGCCGCCGGGCCAGCTTAGCGTGTCTTGTTGTGGGCAAAGGGCATTCGCTTAAACAATTTGAATGGCAACGTAGCGGTCCATAGCAACGCAAACACGCAGGGAGACTTGTCCATGCTTGCTACATAGGGATTTGCTCTTCCAACTGCATTCTTGGATGCCAAGCATCCAGCGACAACACATCCATGTTGTTGCAGGCCAACAAATTGCGCAATTTGAGTTTTGGCCCGTAAAGCTGGTATGCGCGCACACACGCATGCACAGTATTCCACAGCAATTTCAGCCAAACGCGTGAACAGCAGGCAACACTACATAGCCTGAAACCTGTGAAGCAGCCCCTCCCTTGTAATGCTTGGAGACGGTTGAGGAAGCCGGAGATGGCATAGAGTGACAAGCCCGGCAGAAGGCCAACCTGCACACGGTTTGCGCTTGTAAATAAGTAGCGGATGTTCTGAAGCCCACAAACTAAAACATACCAAATATCTTGGTGTGCAACAGGTATTTCTTATACCAGGCGTGTTCAAACTTCAAAAAACGCCTTGCCCTGCTCTCCATGCCAAGCGCCATCTTTCAGACCTTGGTTTCAAACATCCATGTTTTGATGTAAAGGCCAGCTTGAGAGACGCCTTCAATATTTGTACTTGCTGACAACGGAAGCTTGAGCCTCATTGCATGCGTGATCACAAGGCCAGTCATTGCCTGTGTGCATACCCAACTCACGGCCAGCAAGGAGACCCCAAGCGCATTGTTCAGCAGGTTGAAAATCCTCACGAGCTTTGTGCGAGCTGCCGATGAAAACTTGAAACACACTCACATCTGCGTGACAAAGAACATGGACTTACAAAGCTGCCAAGACTCGCTTCCGTGTTGGACTGGAGAGTTGGACGGTGATTTTCCACCCTGCAAGGGACAATCTGCAACGCCTATGACAGCTCCTCTCACGCACGCCTGCTGAGATGCAGTGGTGTCAACGATTCAGACATTTATCCCGAGTACCCAGAAGGCAACCCGTTAAGGAATCACAAGGGTTGTTGGAATTACCCGGCCAATGACCCCAAACAATGGTCACAAGAATTCATGAAGGAACATGGAAGTAGCCATGGCAAATGCTCACTTGTTTCTGTACAGAATGCGCTGAGATGACCACACAGGGTCTCTTTTGCAGGTCTTGCGCGTGCTCTTCAAACTGAAAGTTTCCCATAGAAGATCTCCTGGTTGCGCAAGATTTGGCTGAATTATTTTGAGTCACATTTCTTTTGAAAACCCTGGACAAGATCTCAGTGCAAGGATCTTGGCAGGATCTGTGGGGTCTCTTGATAGGACATCTTGGCATTTTGAGTGCGGGATTGCCGAGAGAACCCTCTACAAGCTTTCTCTTCAGGATCTGTAGAGAGCATCCACTACAGGATCACTTCATGCCACCCACAGTCCGCAGAGGGTTCACTTCATGTTCGCCGCGTGCACCGCGCCGCGGCGCAGCGATCAAACCCACCCAAAGTCAGCGCAGGGTTCAATATCGATGTTCAAAATTCGCGCCGTGTGCGGGTTACCGCTTGCTTCGGAGGGTTCATCAATCCACCGGTTTTGGCATTCACACGGCAACACAGCGAGAGCGCACTCTCGAAAGACTCCAAACTCGTCTCAGCACTTTGTGCCACAGTCGACAAGCACATGAACATCTCACAAGGGGGACCTGTGCAGCCGAAAAGCGCCCGTTACTCTTGCCGTAAGAACCCCTTCCGGTAAACCGACTGTGGGGGAAGGTCTTAAAGGAAGCCAGTATGTGTTGTTGGGATTTCCGCAATCTGAGAAGCAAGCTTTTGCGAGTCCAGAGCGGAACCGAGGGGCTCCACCACCACGCTCACGAAGGAGCTGATTTCAGGCCGCGAGGCCTGCGGCGGCGGCCCCTGCGGCGGGCGCGCCCGGGAGCCACGGCAAGGCATGTGATGTCTTTTTGCAGCAGGGCATCAAGTGTCGGCACCTTTCATTGGGCACTTCGAACACGGCATTGCCTCTCAAATTGGCTGAATGCTGGGCTTAGAGTAGAAGGAATCTTGAGATAGCTTGGGTCCAAGTCACGCGTGTCATGCAAACTTGGGCTGGCAGCTAGAAGCGACCGGGTGCTGCAAGACAAGGTGAACCCTCCAAGAACCCTCCAAACAAGTTACTTTCTTCGAGTGATCTCCCCGATTGAAAAATGCAAGCAAATCAGGCACACTCTTTTTCTCAAGGTCAGGCGCAAATCTCGTGGCAGCACTTTCGCAAGGTTTGGTACAGATAGAGATAGATAGATAGATAGAGATAGATAGATAGATAGATAAATAGATAGATAAATAGATTAGACAGATAGATAGAGGGATAGGTAATGGGTAATTGGATAGGCAGCAGAAAAGTACAGAGATAGGTAGATAGACGGATGGATGGATGGCTGGATGGATGGAGTAGATAGATTAGATAGATGGATAAAGACAGATAGAGACAAGCAGTTAGAGAGATAGAGATATAGGTAGTTAGACACATAAATGAGGGTTTCCAAAAAACACTGAGAAAAAAAGCGGCGATCCCTCCGCTTCCGCGGCGCAAAGCGTACCTTCTGCCAACGCATCTCCTTAGAAGATCTCGAGAACATTCCGGGACAGGCTCTTGGTTCCAGTTTGCGGGCTATGCCAGCGATATGGGCATCGCTTGGGCATCGTTCGGCAAGCCGTTTTCTTGTCCAGGCATGGTCCGTTTGATTTGTACAGCAGCTAATGAGTTGGGTATCGGTTGGGCATCGGTTTGGGTATCGGTTTGGGCCCTGCAAATGTCTGATTCGGCAATCTTGGTTTGCGACAACAGCTTGGACCTGATGTGTGTCTTGATGGCTTCTGCGGGTATCGTTTTTTCCTCTGTATCGGTTTACAATGGTTTGGGCCTCGTCCCCTTACATAACGAAAAAGCACGGGGCTTTTATTTCAGTACGCGTCGGGCACTTTCCGAGCTCCGGCTCGAGAATCGCAAATTTTAGTACAAATGTAGTACGCGAAGGCCACTTTCTCAGCTCCAGCTCGTTGATCTGGAACTTTTCATACACAGATGTAGAGGTGCACTTTCCGAGATCCAGCTTGAGAATCGTAACTTTTCGGTGCAAGCGTGTAACATGCTTAAAGGCAAGCCAATAGTTTGAAAGAACATAACAGGTCGCAGCTTCCGCGCCGCTTCCGCGGAGCTTCCGCGGCCTGCGTTTCACTTACTTACCAACATAACCACCGCCACTAGCCACTAAAAAACGAATACAGCTATTTACGGAAAGCCTCAAATATAGAGAGAGAGAGAGAGAGAATAGATAGATAGATAGATAGATAGATAGATAGATAGATAGATAGATAGATAGATAGATAGATAGATAGATAGGTAGGTAGGTAGGTAGATAGATAGATAAGAAAATAGCTAGATAGATATGTAAGTGATTACAACATCTAGAGACCCTCATCTAAGCACAGAAACTCTTCCTCCGTTGGGCCCGAGTAGAGACTGTCGTGATTCAGGGTTTCCACGTACCTACTCATCCAAAGAATGCTTTCCAGAACCTATTGGTGTCTCAAACTGCTGGCCGTTTGCGCTGAAAACCATCATCGGCCCTCTCGGCCTTGAAAACCCACAGCGTGCGCCCGTGGGCCCGGAAGACTGGGAACCCCCAAACCAGAAACTCGCCTGAAAATGCTTGTAATTTGCACACAGCAAGCAAAGAGCAAGCAAAGAAGCCTACAGCGCCCTCAGAATATACGCAAATTTTGATAGACACTCAGATAGGTACATAGATAAACAGATAGGTGGAGAGACAGAGGGGAGAGAGAGAGAGAGAAGAGAAAGAGACAGAGACAGCACACGGATAAACAGATAGATAGATAGATATATAGATAGGTAGGGAGAAAGAGAGAGAGAGAGAGAGAGGTAAAGAGATGGATAGATGGAAGGTAGAGAGAGAGAGAGGGAGGGAAGTTGAGAGAGACATAGACAAATAGATGGAAATAAGGTAGACAAATAGATACATGAATGGCTTGATAGATAGAGAGAGAGAGAGAGAGAAAGATAGAGACAGATAGGTAGAAGATAGAGAGATAGAGAGATAGATAGGAAGATATACAGATAGATGGATAGATAGAGATAGACAGATTGATAGATAGATGGATAGATTGAAGGTGGATAGATAGGTAGACAGACAGATGGATAAATCGATGAACGGACAGATAGACAGATAGACAGATACACAGACAAATAAAAGAATAGACAAATAGGCCAGCCCCAGGAAAAGTCCAGCGCAGCACACGCCGCAGCCAGCCCTGCGAGAAGTCCAGCGCAGCACACTCCGCGGCCAGCCCCGCGAAAAGTCCAGCGCACCACACTCCACAGCCAGCCCCGGTGTAGGAAGTAAAGGAGGAACGGGAGCACATGAGGCACAAAGGAGAAACGGAGGAAAAGGAGGAAGGGAATGAGCAGGAGGAGGAGGAGGAAGTTGGAGGCTGAGAGGTGGGGAATAACTTGACTATGAGGCTGCTTTGCCTTCTTTGTATGTCCAAAATCGCAGAGTTTCCCGGCAACAGTAGCACAAGCTTAAAGCCTCAAAACTGACTTTGATGCTTCTGGAGTCATTGGTGCAAGATTGCGCTACAGATTTTCCAATAGCCCTGGGCTCCGATGGCTCCGCAAAGGAGTCTTCGGTGTCCGCACCTCAACGCCGAAGCTGGCTGTTCTCAAATCGCCCGCGCTCATGGGACTTGTCCTGGGCACAAACACCAGGCGCAGAACTGGTTGCGTGTCCCAGCAGGAGAGTGGGCAGCAAAGCACATGTTTAGCCCCATGATGTGCCTGCAACAAGAACCAGCTAAGGGTTAACAAGAATTCTAGAAGCGGCATGACACTTCTCGGCGAGACGGCGGCAGCGTAAGCTCAAGGCTTTTCCCTCACTCCTTGCTTGGCTTGCCTTTGCTAGTACTGAGTTCAACCACTTTGAGGAGAGGGTTGCTGCAGGGTCACACGTCTCGGATCAAGAAACAAACTATGATCAATATTGCAGAGTATGCATCCTGCAGAGCAAGTCGAACAAAGGCGACACACACACACATGCAAATGCACACACCGGAAACACTTCACGGCCTGCCCTGTTTACTTTCTGCACCTTCCGACGTGTTCCAAGACAAACTCTTGGCCGAGCAGCTCGCGCGCGTCTCAAGCTCCGAGGCACTTGTTGCAGCCGCAAAAGGGCGCTTTGAGCCACGTGCCGTGCTCGGGCCACACATGTCTGCCGATTCATGCGGTTCATTGGGAGAGGCCCAGCTTCCCAAGGTCGCACTTGCGCGCCCCAAATATGGATATACACGTGTACATACCCTAAATATCATCCATATATCTGGCTAATAGGTGCGATATAATCGTTTTGGGTATGGAAGTAGGGCCTTGGAAATGTGGGAGAATTTGCTGGCAAATGGCTCTTAACCTGGGTTGTTCTCAGTCTGCGACCTGGGGCACAAGCAACACAGCACGCAAAGGCCAAAGCAATACCCAGGTCGTTGCTCAAACATTGAAAGCTGAAAGCGCCAGACGTTCCAAAGATGTGTGCTCAACTACCGCTGAGGCCGATGCCAAACCCCATAAGACCTCCGTTCCTCAGTTGCGGATTGGCATCGAGAATCTTCGACGCTGCCGCGGCAATCACAGCTTGCCTCCGATTAAATGGGCTGACAGTGCTCGCACAACTGCGAATACACCATACGAACCTTCCATGCCTCTAGGTACTAAGAGTAGCTAGTCGGCTACTCACGGACTCCACACCGGACAAGTATTGCTCCGTAAAAAGAGACATACTTCAGCATATTTATTTTAATGGGACTTGACCGCTATCAATTGGTTGAGCAAAGGGCGGTGAAGTGAACGCTGGAACAGGAAGGCTCTGTTGCCTGCCTGCTGCGAGGTCGCTACAGCACGTCACAGAATGGTCAAAGATGCACAAATGACATCGCTAATACAAGGGTACAGCCCACCCAAAGCTGATACTTGGTGTGGGATAGACTCTTCCGGTATGACGTATGGGTTCGCAACATATACAAACGATGCTTGAAAACAAATGGCCCTACCTACTCCAGCAGCCAGAATTGCAAGCCGCAAAAGAGGAGACTAGCCAGTGATCCACAAATCCTCAAATTACTGCACAAAGCGAACACTATTCATGTCTACTTAGTCTAGAGCTATGCTTATGCTCACTGATGGCCCAAGCAAACACATGGATTCACCCTTCATCATCCTGCCGCTCCCTGAATTCAACAGGTGCCCGCGCATTGGGGCACACCCTGCGAGGGGCCCAGGCGGAGGCGCCTGCACTGGTCGCTGGCTATGCTTCTGCTGGCTTGCTTTTCCAAAGGTCTGCAAACTTTTTCCAAAGGCCTTCGAAGCTATGCAAGCGTTATTGAAATGAGGAATGAGAAGCCTGGGATTAATGATTGGCAGTTCCTTTTGATCAAGTCTTTACCCCAAAGCGACCAGGTGGCACACAATCCCAACACATGAACGAACACAGGTGAACCAAGAACGGAAACCACCAGTGCAAAGCAATACCAATCTCGCAAAAAGCGTAATCATAGACTATGAGCACAAGTCGATCTTGGAGGAATTTGTCCTGGCTTCTGGGGGGAGCGTGTGCAATTGCTTTCTCGCTTCAAACGGCAAGTACACTTGCACTCTGTCCGCTGACAGCTTCACCACCTTGGCTCTCTTGGGTATGTGGTTCAAGCACCAGGCAGGGATATGTTTTTCATGCTGGGGGACGGGGTTGCAATGAGAACAGAAGCACCGGCAGGGCATGTACGACATGCATAATATGTACTGGTGTGTGTATGTGTGCGTGTGTGGCAGTGGATTGGCGACACGCAGCAACCAAAGTGCTACACGCAGAGTGATGTAAAGCGCAGTCCTGCGCTGTGAGTTTTAATGGTGTGTGTCCAATGCTTGTGGGGGCCATGATCGTGGTTCAATCAGACTCCTCGCAAGACTCCTCACAGTAGTTGTCGAAAGCAAGCCTGTGAAAGGGTTAAACAGGGCGGATGACTATCCTAACTGACCCCGCGTAAGGCAAGTGTGAGTCAAGTTGCGAATGCTTGTGAGCCAATCAAAGCCTGATCAATCTGCTCCAGGGAAAGTGATGGTTGAGTGTGCCTTCTGTTGCCGTCAAGGAACACGTATCGCTCTTAAGCCACTAGCTAATCTATTCAAACACGTCCGCTTGCAAACAATCAACGCGCGCTGTGAAACAAACATTCATTCTGGGGTCCTTCGTGACTTCAACCGGATGAAGCACGAGTTGTAAGTTGTTGCGTGCAACCAACCGCCCGAAGCCCCGCCTGCCGACCGAGGCCCCGCCCCTTGCCGCCCTGTGCAGTGGTCCACGGTGTGACATGTTGGCAATCGCAAAACATCAATTATTATCCAGCGCGCAACCTGGTACTATACTTTGCTCATTGATGTGCCAACCGAAAACATCAACTGCACCACGAACCCGCTGTTCAAATGAAGTGGGAACGGCCGTGCAGGCACTGCAGTTCTCTCAACTCCGTGAATGCCTTGGAGGCTTTGCCATTCTTTCCACCACCACCGCCACCCTGGCACATGTTGCCAATTCAGTCGATGGCTGAGATGTTGTTTACTTCCGTAGATTTTGCGATTTGCCTAGTGGCAGCAGCTCTGCATCACTGGTGAACATGGCGACCTAACCAGCTTCTGGGACACGTTGGCTGCTCTGATCAGGAAAACACAAACAAGGCGAAAGCCAACTCTTGCGGAGGCCGTTCGGCTCTCAGCCACATGACCCTGGCAGCTTATGCTGGATGGCCTTGCCGGCTTTTCCTTTGCCGCCTGCGGAACAGCGCATCTCACGATCATGCATGCGTATGCTTCACAAACAAAAGCATGGATAAAGCGATTGATCAAACAGTTTCAGCGCAGAATGCCCGCAAAGACATTTCCGTAGTCAAGAAGCTATGCAAGCACCCAGCCTTTGGATGCCTTGAAGCCAACCAGCTGTCTGAGATCCTGCAAGCCCAAGGAGGTGAACCGGTGAACCTGTCGGGTTGTTTCTCACTGGCGTCAACATGCGACGCAGATCTCCAACCCAAATCACGGATCTGTCCGCTACATCCATCAAAAGTGTCAGGATAGGCGGCTGCGCAGTCAGGAAAAAAGTACTCACGTCAAAGCATTGCAAGTCCAACAAAGCATTGAATTCCAACAGCTCAGAGCACAATGAAGCGAGCTTTCTGAAGTATGCCGTGCGCAAACTCCACAGCCCGGAGGTTTACGGGTGCTACGTCCTCAGGGATCTCCTGGTCGGCGGTCTGCATCACCTGCCACATTCTGAAGTGCAGGGCGATGTTAGTGAAGCAGTCTGAGGCTTTGCGTGAATTACCCATGATTGCAAAGTTGGAATGGTGAGCTGCGTCCAACCCGTCCAACCCTGGACCGCCTGAAGGCATCTGCGCATTGAACATACAGCTGGTACTGTCCAGTAACATTTTCCTGTATCCACGACCACTCTGGAAGCCAACCAGCGCGCTTCGGATCGGCCTCCAGGATGGCCTTCGCCTTCCGCACGTCCAAAGGATCTTCTCGCACCAGAAAGGTGTACCTATCCAAATTCCAAGTCCCATACGTCATGATTGGAAAGACTCGTTTGCCCAAGTGGACCTGGGAAACCTATGCATTGGGCGTCCACGCTTTTCAAAACTAACACCACTCACCTCCACGTGCAGCACATTGCAGCAACTTCACGTGTTGGATTTCTCATATTGACACTTTCCCGCGTCAGAATAGCTGCACAAGCCGGTTCTTTGAGTCCAAACAACGCTTAATCGGTTACAGACTTCCATGGCTTCTTGGAGACAATCACGACAGGGGGCAAGGATCGGAATGGAATGGTGGAAAAACGTGACACACGCGAACCTTCGCTCCAAATCTGAACCCGGGCAAACTGATGAGGATTGCTGTTTGGCGTGCGGCTTGCTTCTGGCATCTAACTTGTGGAACCCTATTCCCAACTTATCATGACACATATGCACCATCCTTCAGGATGCAAATGTTAATGGTCACATGTTCAGCACCATTCCACACCCCCCTTACATCAATGTACTTCATAGAATGCAACATGATGTAGCCACCCTCCAGTCCGCATGAGTCCATCTTCAAAGGGCCCCTGGCTTTGGCACGCAGCTTTTCACCCTGTTTGCCATGGCACGAGAGGCCCTTCTCCCCCGCACGGCCAGTGCGCCCAATACGGTGGACGTAGTCCTGGTAAGGAAGCGGCTGCAAGGAACAATCAAAGTCCGTCTGGAGTAGCAACGTCCTCAGGGGTGTTGGCAGCATCGTAGTTGATGACAAGCTTGACACCTGACTGTACAAGTTGCAACTTCTCCGCGAATACTCAGGTTTGGGGCCGCCACCCTTGATGTCAAGTCCACGGGAGGCCACGTCGGTGGCGACCATGACCTGTGTCTTGCGGTTTTCATCCGTACCCCTAGTTGTCTGATGTGCAAAGCGTTCCCCTAGCCATGCATCTGGTGCAATGTGTTCCCTTTTGCACAATGCTTTCCTGTGGGTTCAAAACGGTGTTCAATGTGCAAATCAATGGAAAACGTGAGCTGTCCCTCGTTTATAATCTCGTAGGTGTTGCAGCCAACCTGGTGGTAGCAAAGAGTTTCAGGAACCTTGGCACCCTGCCCGCTTCTCCTTGTTGGTAAAGGAGCGGAGCGCCAAGTCGCGCTCTCGCTGGTCCTGATGAATGAGCGGGCTTAAGCTCAAAGTCCTACAGCAATTCCCCTTTAAACCAACCCAGAAAGGGTACACTCAAATTATTCCGGCAAGAGAACCCAAGTAGTGTTGAGGTTGGCTTACCTTGATGATTGGTGGCCCAGACGCATACAAACATGTTTAACAAACTCTGACACCTCCCCGGCCCCATGACCAACAAGACGTGAACGCGCCAACGTCTCTGCTCAAAGCAAACCGTCTGCAAGCTCTCATAAGCGAGCTTAGCGTCATGCTTCACAGCCCCTCCTGTCAACTTCTGTTGCGCGCGGTGCTATGAAATGACGCGGCGCGTCAAGCTACCGGTGATGTTGCGCGCGATTCTTTGCGTGATGCGGCGCGTGATACGGCGCGTGATATTGCACACCAAGCCCACGCAACAGCTGCCTCAAAACCCACTGAGGGCCCAAACCCGCGCCCAGCCTCGACCATGCTCCTCCTCTCGAATTCTCCAGAAACTTTTGTCAAGTCCCCCCTAGAAACCGGCCAAATTCCCAAGAAACCGATCAAGCTCCCCTCCAAGCTCCTCAAATCCCCGCCGGAAACAAATTTCCCCAAAAACCGTTCAAATTCTCCCTACAAACCGGTCACAAATTCGCACCAACCAAATTGACCTCAGGCCTCGCTTGGCCCCAGTCGACTGCCCTCTGTAGCTCCCTGGCTGCGGCTTAGCCCTTGAAGCCATGTCGAATCGCGCGCTATCTTGGAACGCAGCTCACGCATGTTGGTGCCGACTCGCGCCCTCAGACCAACACAACACTTCAAGGCAAACCAAAACACGGTACCTCGAAGCCAGCCAAAAGCACAGTGGCCGAGGCGGGCAACGGAAGCGTTTACAATTAATTTTTGTGGGGGCTAGCAAGGACCATCAAAGGTCATGAACCCTGCGCCGAACCAGTATGGGATTTTGGCTTGCCCGTTGGCTCTTTTTCGCCCTTCCCTTGGCTTCCCTTTCATGTGCTGTTTTCCCCAGAAAATGTAGAGGGTTCCTTTGGTGTTCCTTCAACCCTCAACCACAAGGGGTTTCCAGCTTCCCCCAAATTGCTTGGATAATAATATTGCAAGTTGAACATCGTCTGGTTGCTCAAGAAAAAAAACAACAACACCGTGTTCAGAATGCAAATCGACCCAGGGTTCGAACCGCCAACCGTTGGCTTGCCACCTTTCCCCCTGACACGCTAGGATGGGCTCTGCAGCCTCAAACCGTTTGAGGAATCAGGGCGTCACCGCCAGCTCAGGCTCAGTGGTCGACCAAATTGTTTCAAACGGTTGCTAGTTGGTGGGGAACAACCGTTGTCCAACAGGGTTCATGCCTAACAAATGCGAGGCCGAACGGAAAAACCCTTGGACAAATTGAGTCAACGCGCAATCATCGCATCAGAGTGTGGTTTAGCACCATGGGTTGTTACAGGTTTGGATTTCCCAAAGCTCCAGACACCGGGGCATCAAACGCCTTGGAGTCTGATTGCAAAATGATTATTTCCCTAATTCTCAAAGAGCGAAATAGGCTCTCAGCCAGTCAGGCAAGGCCATGTTCCTTGTCGCCATGGATCTCTGCGACTCCGAAGCTGTGATGCCAAAGGTACCTTGCTATGTCCTGGCGCGTCGCATGAGCCATCAACTTCCTACTCAATTCGCCGCTCGCCAGCCAAACTCTTTCACACCCCGGGTGCCTTGCATAGGGCACCCATAAACTTTGCCCCAAATCCTCTCCGACCGCACTCCTGAACACATCTCTTGGTTGAGACGAAGATAATGGCAAGCTCCTCCTGAAGGCGAAAGTGAAATCGTGCTGGTGGCCATACACGGGTTCCATTTGTGAGCAGATTCAATAGCCTGAACAGCTGCCCCTGCTCCTGGATTGATACAACATATCATGCACCTGTTCATAGTGGCCACAACACTGGATTCAGGCCACTAGAGTTTCCTCCTGCCGCAACCTTGCCTCAACTTGCGCAGCCCTTAAAGACAATTGCATTCAACCTGTCAAACAATCACAACAAATGGTCGCCAACATGTTTCAAGCGGAGGGCCCCGCAACATGTGGCTTTCCTTTGCCCTTGCAACCAAGCAACGGGAACGAGGTAAACAGAGGAGTTGATGCCTTTTCTGCTCCTCTCCGAGGTGCTCCACGAGCATCTCATCAAGCCTACAGCTCTGATGTGCCTTTGGTTTCAGCTGCACGACACATCCCTGACCTTCTCAAAGTGCACCATTTTGGGCTGTTGCTTCTCAAAATGGTGGACCCCCCGCAGGGGTGGTAGTAGAGAGAATCCAACAGGAAAAACAGCACATGGGTTCCATCATTTTGAGAATCGCCCAGTTGAGTCGGTCGATTGCTAAGCTGCAGTCTGCTGATTGAAGGAGATCCATCGATGTTTGGCAAAAGTTGACTGACGAGATGATTCATCCCGTTTCACCTATCTCCTCTTCTCTGGCCTTGGTTCCAACACCTCATCAGTGGGGAACTGTTCGGAAACAATCAAAATGGAATCCCTCCTCTCTGTCACGCAGACTCTAAAAGCCAACCACATAAGGGCACGCAAATCCATTCATAACTTTCATAACCATGCACGCATGCAAGCTGCTTGGTCCTAAAGGAAACTTTCCCCAGGGTGTTGAGGCAGCGGCTTCCGATCTTTGTCGGTGGGCCTGCAGGCACATTGCTGGCTCTGACAACCGGGCATCTTGTGCACGAATTTCTCTTGGAGTTGTTGGCCCTTAACAGCACCGGCACAGCCTACGAGGCTCCACAACAGCCGAGGCTGCAAAATGCTGATGTGCCGTGCACAACAACCATGCGCATGTCTGAGGCTTCATCCCACGCCTATCCAGCAAGACGACGTGCTGTGTCACGTCAGTGTTTGCCTTTGCTGAATTCATCTCACCTCAGCCCAGGAATTCACGATTGGATGCGCGCGTCCTTACTTGCACAATGGTGCGGCCATGACAAAATCGGACGATGGCAAGTGATGCTGTTGATGGACTGTCAAATGCTAGTCATGTACAACTGTACAACTGTTGTGAACATACATGCTCGTCATTCGAATCATTACAGGGAATACTGAACAAATGATGCTCGTCATAAATAGCCACACCCTGCATGTCATCAAGCGCTTGCCATGTGAACATGTGAATTGGCCCTTTCTACCAATTGTGCACAAATGGAATGTGTGTCATGAGCCTCATAAACCAGTGGGTTGTTTCGGCCCACACTCCTTCTGTGTTTGGGCAGGCTTGCCTATGTGCACGTGCACCGGCCGTCGGAGGAAGTCGAAGGCCAATTGTCGCACGGCCTGGCAAAGCGGATTCCCTCAAAAAGTACGTCATGCATTGCGGTGGGGACATACAACTGAATCAAGTGTCTTTAAAACCAAACAGGTTAATCAGTGCAAATCGCGGCCATAGTGAGTTGAGATCAAAGCAGTTGTGATTCACATGGCTGCTTTGATCTGAACTATGGCCTCGATTTAATTGCTAACTGATAACTAAAACAACATGAATTCGTGCCAGGTTGAATAAATGTATCATTAATTTTGCCCGCACCTGCGATTACTAACGGTTCCACTGTGATTTGCTACTTGTGGCAAGGAAAACTATCGACACCGCCTAAACTTGCCTCCTTGTCGCAAAGAATGAGCAACAAACATGTCTGCTGTACAACGTCTACAGTGCGAGAAACCCTGCTCCAGAATTACATTCTGAGCAGCACGTAAAACACATCACAGGAGACCAAAAGGCAAAACAAACGATGAAAAGGCACAAAGCGCACGCCCTTTTCTGCTGCTGCACTTGCTAGGCTGGCCATAAGCCAGGCGTTGTCTGACTCCCGAGAGCCGTGCACCTGAAGTTGGACATTGCACACAAAGGGCCATTAACAGAAAGTCTTAAATGCATCAAGAGGGCACGAGAAAGACTGAACCTGACATCGCTCTCATATCATATCCCTGGATATCCTGGATACATCTATTGGGACTTGATTATCCAACAGCTGGACAACTTCTTTGATGCTCCGCCCGGCGCGCTGGCGCTTACTGCTCAGCCGGATTTTGCGGGTACATCTTGAGCTGCTCCTTGCACGCCATCACAAGCCATGCCGCCTAAACTCCGCTCACTCTGACGTAACCACCCGATCAATTGCATAGATGCCAAGGTGTCAACCGCTCTTACCACCAGCCAGCATCGGTAATCTTGCACAACCGTGGCCAAATAGAATGTCAGCCCATGCTTCAGCAACATCAAACAACCACAATCGCATCTCTCTGTGCCTCTGAAAGGAGACCCGCTTGCGCTTTCTTCTTGGTGCGATTGTGATACACCCGAGTCCTCAGCAAAGTGGCATGCAACAGTTCAGCAAGCAAGGCTAAAAGACTTGGTGCCCTGCTCGCAGGGGTCGAAGCCTGCCTGCAGACGAAAGTGCAACAGTGCTGGCGTCGGCATCCGCACATATTACCTGTTACCACAGATTTCTGTCAGGACCAACCCTCATCAATGGCAAGCTATACCACACCGCATACTAAATATGGCCATGTCTAAAAATTATCAACCCCCTTCCAGGTTGGTCAGGCGCAAGCCGGAGGGGGAGGGTCACTCGGAAGGACCAAGAAAACATATGTCTTAGGAAATGTGCATTCATGATTTGAACCAAGGTAGTTCAATTCAAGACCATGTTCTAGACTCTGGCAATCCTCCGTCATCGGCAGCTCCATGAATCTAAGTTAAATGGACGGCCCTCTCTCCAAATAAGATTTCTGTAGCCCGAAAGATGTGGTCCGTCGGTCAATCGCTGAATCGCATCCTATCTGCCATCGTGACAATCAAAACCCGTAACATGTGCCCATGTAAAGAACCGAAAAGGCGGCACCATTTTTCTTTCTGGCGGATTGACATGGATTGACCGCCTTACCGTGACCCACCGCCCTCCACTTTCCAACGAATTTGACTCGCCCATCTACCCCTGGCCTCCTCCGAGCCGTAGAGCGCCCAGTTTGGGCTTGGCGCCCAGTAGTCCGAGGCATCAAAGTCCCTGCCTACCCCCGATCGCCTACCCCCGGCGATCCGGGACTCGCATGCGAGTCCCGTGAACAGGCCGACATGAGTCATAGCCATGTTTGATTTGAGCCATGTCAGTTTCGCAATGGCCGTCTGGGTCTTGAAAGATAGGACGTCTTGGCTTGCATGAGTTTGATTCGCCGCCTGTCAATATGGACCAGTCGCTGCTGAAAGCCTTACCCTCAAGGCATGCTTCTGAAGGCAAGCTCTTGCCACGTTATGATGACACATGTGCATGCTGCAGGAGCCTAGATATACCACGCGTAACAAAGGCCAAACCGTGGACGAATCAGAAGAACACTGTACCAGCTAAAATCGTAAGCGGCCTGGTGTGCTAAGATGCACAACCGTAGTTGGTGCGTGGGCGACGACCAAAATCAAGTTTGGTTTTACACAGTCAGTCACGAAAGCTTCAAGCTCTATTTCTTATTTATTCTTTCGGAACTCGCAAACCTCTTGCTCCCATCGCCGAGTCAAGGACCCTCTCTGACCAACTGATGGAAACGATCGTAGTCGATCCAGGTGTGCCATCGGCCATCCACCTCAGGCAACTGGGCAAGCTTCCTGGTGCGACATACGTGAATGACAAACTGCCTGTTCCCAAGACAAACAATGAGGCCGCACAACCACAATCCAATGGGCCAGGTTGAATAAGACTGCCTTTCATAACTGAGTCAAACGCATGTCATCATGTCATCAGTACAACATAGCATTTGCGCTTGATATCTGTTGTACAAGTGCTTCTCATTTCTCCAAACTCTCAATACACCTTTCCATTCGGCAACCACACACACACACACACCTGGCGTAGAGAAAAGATTGAACTAGTGGGTGCAATACACTTGAAGGACCTTGCATGTCAAGCCGTGCCTTGAACCGCTTGTTCGCCAGCAGCACCTGGCTGAGACTCGAATCGACTGAGAGGGCTTAATTATGCTGCACAAGGAGGCAATTTCAACGAGGCCTGTGGCTTCTTCGTTCCGGGATCCCCCATATTGCATATATATGTATTAATATATATATATATTGCGATTCGATCATTCATACTTGCGTTGAATCACCGTGGTTGATGTGCAACGTTCTTGCAGCATGCAACGCATGATATTGAGATACATAACCTGTCTTCGGCGACCATCATTAAAGTATCAGCGCAGCTAATCATCGACTAACGCATCCGGCAATCAGCCAGAGGCTCGATGCAGCTATGCTGATGCTCGCAAGCGAGCTCATACTGCTCGTCAAGACCTTCCTGCGCATTCGGACTGCGGAGTGCCAACGAGGCGAAGGGGTTTACTTGGAGGTAGTCAGTGGGCAATGTGGGTGCTGTTGAATCCTGCCATTCATCTATCATCATCAGTCCCGGCATCGACATTAAAGAAACAACACATGCTATTCCCACAATGCATTCTGAACACCAGAAATACAGTGTTGAGCTTTTGGACCCTAAGGAATATATACAAACTTGGGATTCCTCAGACTCACCAACATAGCCAAATCAGGATAATGGCATGGCCAACAAATGTCTTGCCCACTTGGCCCCAAAGAATCAGCAAAATAAGGTGTGCCTTTCCGTCAAAAACATACGCCTTGCATCAACATGCAAAGCGAGGTTGCAATCCAGCGGACCTGCGCGAGAAAACGGAAAGAAGCTACAAAAGCCCACGACCCGTGATACACATCCTACTTGCACGGACATGAGATGGCAAAATAATGACATCCGAAATGAGGGCCTTTGCAAGAAGAGCTTCGGAAAATGCTTTGACCTCGGCAAACAGCATCGCACAAACCAGAAATTTCAGGCTGGTCTGAAGGAAAATCAATGTTTTGAGTCTTGCCCAAACCAACCATATGATTTTACGCCTGGTGCATGCAGCACGCGCATGCACGCGTTGCACTCAGCGAGCGGGAAACTAACGAAGCTGAATTTGAACTGAGCTTGCAGCCTCCTCATGCCAAGGCGTGCATGAGATAGTAAGCGAAGAAGCCTGTGCCCAAGGTAGATTCCCGCAAATTGTACAAACGCTTGACACATTCGTCTCCGCACCAAACTGAGCAACAACGTGCGCCACGAAAAATAATCCTTCTGCGGGCCATGGCTTAGTAGGAACCCGTACAATGGTAAAGGGGTCGATGACCGTCCCCAAGCAACAAGTTTGACAATGTACAACCTGTGCTGACAGCAACACCTGAAGGCAGACACAGGCAGCCTTGGACTCGCCACAGAAAGTCACAGACTTGATTTCGATAAAATCGGGCTTTCCCAACCTCAGTTTGGCGCGGCTGCCACGCATATTTGCCAAAGACAGGGCCGCAGGATTGCCCATGGAAACGCTTTTCCGAGAGCCTGACGCGACAAGCTTTGCGTAGTCTGCAGCATCTTCCATGTTGTGCCCCTGGCTGTTGGAATCTTGCACGCGGACATTAAATCTATCAGTTAGGCAATCCTAGTTGTAACATCTAAGCACTCGGTTTTGTTTCTTCTTTTTTTGTTCGGGGGACCCCAAAACTGGTGGTTTCCCGTTTGGTTTCCCCTACAGGGGTGCCCTCAACAAACAACTCAACCACTCAGGACGCGCGTCTGCATCTTGACAACACAAGCTTGGCCTTCACGAGCGTGAGCCGATACACCGTCCGCTGCTTCTTCGCCGCCAAGGCCTTCCAGCGCCAAGTTAACTCAGGCGCAGTCCTTTCAAGTGGTTCAGTACCATGACTACTGGGTTTGTCTCAAACTTAGAACAAGGATGATTGTGGGAAATAACCCGAAAATCTGTCATACAGAGTGGTTTTTCCCTATCACTTTGTCACTTTCATGATCTTTCATGGCATTGGAGTCACAGAAACTGGCCCTAAACCCAATGTTCCGCAATGCGAGGAATCAGGCCTTCATGGAATCCAAGAATCTGGGCCAGAAGTCCGAGAAGAGCGGCCTAGCGTCGTGGACTCCACTCCTGAAGTTTCAACGTGCCGCACCTGTCCACCGCTTTCAGCGTCTCCTTGGTCCCTGCGTCCACACCTGAACACTCGGCCAAGCTCCCAACTAGATGTCCCTCTTCAAACCTGCATGTGAATCCCTCCTTGGCCTCGGCTTGCCTGTCCCATGCAATGCACTGAGATGCCGGCTCACGTACAACTGCGTGATGGGACTCAGGGTTCGGATGGCCTCGGGAAACCTTAGGTCTTCGGCACGAGGCCTCTCTTGTTGCCAGCAATGCCAGAAATCAAGCCAAAACAGCACTAAATAGCACTAGCCACAACCAACAAGCCATGCTTAAACTACTTGCCTGTTTTTGGATTGAGGTATGCAGTAAGCAGCCATGAACCATTTTCGGCTTCTTCTTTGCAGTAACTATGCCACAGTGGAAAGGAGTGTGCCCAAAAGCCACAAAAACATGGCGCCTAACTACTGACCGCAGCACACATGTTTGGGAATGAATGTGTCAAAATGTTGAAGACCCACCCATCCTTTACAAACCAACGACTACCATGACTACCATTTCGAAACATAGGCATGTGTCGGCAAGAGAACTGCAGCTTCACCCGCGACTCTGCGTTGGCGTGTCCAGCTGAGCATCAAGCTGTGCATTCGTCACCAGGAAAGTGCTGATCCTTAGTCAACATGGACCCAACAAGCAATTCCATGCCGGATGCCTCTCTGGACCTAAAGCCATGGCCCTTTTCAAAGGGAGACACAATCTCCAAGCGGTGCTCTCCAGATTGTATGTAAACAAGGGGGGGGTAGAAAGCTTGAGCAGTTTGGGTGCGACAGCAAACACTGCCAACTGCGAGGCGGTCAGATGTAGCCAGTCTCTCCCGAAAAGATTCTATTTCCGAGCGGGCAATGGCCAAAATTGTGTCCGGTCTATGGGTAACCACAATGTCACAGCTCTGGGCTGTGCAATGAACGCACGACGCAAATACAAGCTGCTGCTCAAGTATCATACACACGGATGCGGTGCCTCTGGTTGGAACTACTATCGAACAGAAACTGATAACTATGCTTATAGATCATTGGCCAATCCGAAGACGAAATGAATGGTTAAACAAAAATAATTGCTCAGCTCAGCACATGGTGGCCACAACAAGGCTGCGCAACTCTGAATTAATCAAATGAAAACCAACGTTGCTTGTACCCAAATAACGTCGAGGCAAAACCTTTGTCTAAACCAGATGCATGTATGGTTCATCATGACAGGCCTGAACAATGTCTTCCTGCATACTGAACTGGAAACCAATGTTATCGGTCTTGTCTCTTCCTTATCATTTTTCCGGACAAACCATTAACCCAGTAAACCTTGCAGGGTTGTCTTGTCAATCATATCCATATATCATGTGTCTGAATATACCATATAACATATGATCTACTTGTTTCTCGCCAGCATGGTGTTTGATTATTGCTCGCATTACGGTCCAAGCTGTCGTCATGCCGTCAGGTAGCACAGGCACAAGCGTTGACAAATGTAAAGCACACGACGTCAATTCTCAAAAACACCTCGTGGCCTCACGAAACCGTGCTTTTTTGTGGAAGCAAGCATTAGCGTTGGTGCATTCGATTAATCATTGTCGTCACGGATCTCGGCTGCAGTAGCAGTAGCAGTAGTAATAGCAGTAGGAATTCGAAGTCATAGTCTGCAGTCGTGGTGGCGGTGGTGGTGCTGGTGCTGGTGGTGGTTGTATCCGTAGAAGCAGTAATAGTAGCAGTAGTAATAGTAGTAGTAGTAGTAGTAGTAGTCGTAGTAGTCGTGGTGGTAGTAGTAGTAGTAGTAGTAGCAGTAATAACAGTAGCAGCAGCAGCAGCAATAGCACTGGGTACTGCAGCAGCAGCTGCAGCAGCAACAGAAACCACAGGAATTGTGTGACTGTAGTCATTTACTTTGTTTTGCCTTTTCGGTGTTGTGTGTCCGCTTCGAATAAGTATGCACGATTCTTGTAGACGTCACGGAGTATTGCTAGTTCAACAAAACACATTCATTGCATACTCAACGCCGATGCCAGACATGCCCAAATTGACCACATTGGCCGAAGCCATCCAACGAGGCAAGGGCTGCCTCTGGTGTAGCTCGTTCACCAGCTCATTGATCCTGGGGTACCTAGCTCAGGATTTCTTTCAAGACAAACACAAAAACTAAAACCACAGTTTCAACCGTACCCAGCAGGACTTGCGCTTGCAACGGAGCCACAGAACCAAGGCTATCGTGGCAAGGGGGCACATGATGGGCTCGCCCACCAAGGATAAAGCGCAGTGCCTGTGCCCAGGCAACTGGAACTCGACTGAGCCACAAAGCTGGGAAACGCGCCTCACTGTCATGGCTTCTTCGAAGCGCTCCTTCTTGACACCGGGAATGCCTCGGCAGGATGTGAATTGCTTTCAGATTGTCCCGCAGGACCAAAAATGCAGACAAATGGCGCAAGCAAACGGCATGCGGCGTGTCTATTGGACTCGAGCCTTTTCCTTTTCCACACTGCTCTGAGTGCTTGACCTTTGCACTCCCGGATCATCCTGGCGCGAACGTGTGGCAGTTCGTGCCATGGCCGCGGCTTGTGCCACCTCCTGTGCTGCTCAACGCCTTCAGCAACGATCCTGAGCAGCGGTCCCGAGCTTCGGGCTGACTGGCAACAAGATGTAATAAGTGAATAAGGGTTCCCACAGGATCTTGCCAAGGGCTGAAAATAGGCGACAATGTGTTCAGAACCTGAGCCAATCTCTGAAGACCTCTGCAATCGGAGAATCAGCCAAGTCTCTGGTCAGGAGGGTCCATGGACCACTTCCATTCAGTTCCTGAGACTGCGCAAACACGCACGTGGACTCAAACCAGCAGCTGCTACACACACACACAATTCAGGAAGGATGTTGATCAGCGGATAAATCAAACTAGGAAAGCTGTGCTATGTCTGCCAGAGTGTATTCTCAGCTCCCCGCCAACTGGATTCTTGTGATGCCGCCAGCAGAAGACACATTTGTTGGCACCTGAAATGAGGGCATGTGCAATTTCAGACGCGTCCAGGGGAGGCAGAATGGAGATGCTCTAAGCTCACCAAATTTGGTGAGCGCCACCAGTCATTAACCTTTTGATCAATCTGGCGGACTCTTCGAAAGAAAAAAAAGGCAATAGCCAGTCAAATCAAAAGGGGTCTCTTACTCCTGGGTTCCGTATTGCAACTGGTAAACTCAGCAAATACTGGGTGCGTCACATGCCAGAGAGGGCGTTGCCTCCATACCTCAGTCTCATGTTTACCCTTGCAAAGAGTTGCACTCTGAAGCCTATCAATACCAGCAATATTATGAAGGGGAAACCACCTGCATAAGTGGATGCGTAACAGCATCGGACCGACAAGGTGCACTGAGGTCTTTGTTGGAAAAATCAACTAACTGTGGACTTCAATGGAATATACCTTAAACATAGTAAGGTGCAACCAGGCCTCTCAAAGCATCACAGCTCGTGTCTGTCCTTCAATCCCTCTTTTAAAGCTTTCTGCCAAGGCCAGCCCTCAAACAATCCGGAGTAAATTGAAGCCTCCCACATGCCAGCTGCATACTATCACTATCCATTCATCCAATTAATACTTCTGCCCGGTCTGAGAGACCGGCACTGGTAGGATGTGATACCGTAGAAGGAATGCTTGTAGCAGCCTCCTCGACCTGACCGCACTGCGTTCAGACACAAGGCCGAGAATGTGTTATTGCAAAACAAAGAAGCAACCGATCCAATCAACAGAAGAGTCTGGATTAGCACGCAAAGAAGGCCAGGAAACATTAGATTTAGATTCCCCAGGTTCCTTAGCCCTATTAGCAGGCGGAAATGCTTGCTCCCTGCACCCGGAGGGTACCTAGAAGATCAATTTCTCGAAGGGGACCCCTCAGGTTCCATGGCAACGTGCAGAGCTGCTCGGCTGGCGTTACGTTCGTTGGGTTGGGCATTCGTCAAAATAGGCCCCTTCAAAGAAAGGGCTTAAGAAAGAGTTGAAGACTTCAAAGGGCTTAAAAAAAAAACGAGAGGCCCTGTTAGATCTGCGCGACGGGCTGACGGCTGCACCTCGGAGCTGGTGCTTGGTCCAGCGGCACAGCTTCACTGCGGAGTGGGAGCCCACGATCTTGTAACCTCGCGAAGGGACGCATCAAAAACTAATGAGCAAACCTCATGGTCAAAGCACACCGGTTGGCATGGATGAAAGCCGATTTGAATGTTGAAAGTAGCCAAAATTATTAGAAGCAAACATCATAGCTACTGTATAAATCATGCACAACTGAATATTGCTCCGGTCAGATATTAACTGCCGCACTCGGAACAGAGCTAGAAACAAAACCAGGGAGCTTTATCAGGGATCAATGATGAAGGAGGATTGCTTGAGGGATTCTGTTTGGGAGTTGCGGACAAATTGAATCGGAAAGGGCGGTCACCAAACATTAAAAAAACTCCCTATGGGGGTACACGCGAGCCTTCAGGCGAGTCAGTGGACCATCTCTCAGCACATTTTTTGAAAGGGATCAGCCAGCCATTCAAGGCGCCAGCATGTTCAAACGAACCTCAACCGTTTCCCCAGCTGGCCCAACAAGAACAAATAAAGAGCATCTAAAACGGCAAGCACCAGTGATGGCCATTGTACATCCGAATGGTCAGTGAACAACGCGCGATCACAAGGTGCATACATTGACAGAGGCGATTCCGTACCAAGTACAGCACAAGTATGTGTGGCACGCTCGACAGCACATGGCATAAATTCTGCTGTGTTGATATGACCAAAGCATAGTTTGAGCATTCTCTGCAAAAAACACTGGCAGCGCCAAGAACAACATAGCCTCAAACTGTTTTGGACAGTTCATGCGCGCTGACCAGGTTAGGAGTCTGAAGCGTGGTCCATGTTCGGAGAGGATGCCTTAGCAATCTGGTGGCATACGCAGTTGCCCTGACTGCAAAACCTTCTCAGTTCCCAAGGCCGAAGCCCTCTTTGGTGAGCTGTGCCCGGTGCTTGCTGGTAAGCATGGGCCGCTCCTGCATGCAGGTTGATCTGCCAAGGTGCAAATCATACACAGGTTTTAGCAGTGTTGAGCGCTTGCCAGCCATTGTTCGGTGGCCAATGTCTCGCACAAAGGTCTCGTTGCGCACAACGCCAAGTATGCCCATTCTACATTTTTTGCTACAGCCCGTTCGACATGAGCTATATTCAATGGGTGGACAGGTGACCTTCACACTTGATCCTCCGGGGTTCCCTGCCCCCGATTTCAACCTACGCTAAAGTTCAACATGTTCAACCCTAAACCTAGGATTAAACTCTGTTCCATCTAAAAACCTGTACCAAATCTTCCTGCGGCTGTCCTTGGTGCCGGTGCTGGCACAGCCCTCTGCGAGCTCCTCGACATCTGACCTAAATTCGCCGCGTAGGTCCCGTGATGTCCCATTTCATGGGTGTAGCATAAGTCAGTGGGAGCTCTAGTGATCTTGAAATACAACTGCTCTTAATGCCATCTTACTCATTCTGTGGGACTCTTCACTGCTTGGGTCCGTTCTGGTTGAAGTTGAAACAGATGGCACAACATCAACCAGGCTGACTGCTTGATCACTAGCTTAGCTATGTAAGAGCAACAACATGAGCCGCTCAGCCACGCGGAGCACCGGAACAGGTCTGAGGTCCCTGGCGCTTCTGCTTTCGCCGCATCACCTGTGAGCTGGGCAACTGGTGCTCCAAAAGCATGGCATCACACCGGCGCTGTGTCAAAGACTTTCTAACCGGAATCTCTGCTCACATGACTGAAACCAATTGCTCGCATCACTTGCTCAAGAGGTGCAAGATAGCACAACAGTCCTCACGCCAATGCAACACTGTTAAGACTGTTCAGATGCGAATGCACTGCTGCCACAAAACTATGCTGCACCAGGCGCGCCATTTATGCAAATATCTTTACCGGAAGGATTCACTGTATTGGTGTTGATCTCATTGTGATTGTTTCGTCATACCCCCAAGGCGCTAATTATAGTTGAAAGCTCCCATGATGTTGTAGAAGGCTGCTTCAACTAAACAAAGTTCAGCACAAAAAACAAGCACAAAGCCGCCAACAATTGATCACACCTTTAGATTATAAAGGTCTTCAATATGTGCGATCCGCTGCAACATACAATTCAACTGTTGCAAGCTTGGTGGGCTTCAGAAGGGCAGCCAACCTGCATGAACATGCACTACAACACGATACCAAGCACACTCAGTACATCCTGCAAGCACCCAACAACGTCTTCAGCTTAATCGGGATACCTCAATGTCAACCAACACTAGCGGCAAGCATTCTCCTTCGAAGCTTCTAAAACAACGGCGCTCGTCTTTGTGTGTCTCGCTTGCATCCAGCGTCCAGCCGAGGCCAGCTTCGTCCTTAGCATGCAAACAAGCAAAGTGCAAGCTGACAAACACACCAATATGTCCAAGCAAATACAATACATAAACCCAGACAATCCACTCAACAAGCCAAGCCCTACCAATTGTATCAATCCAAATCCAACCCAATCCAATCCGTTGAAACCATGCAATCACATTCATCAATCCACTTGTTCATCAATCACTGCACTAAGCCAATAGACCAATGATTGACCTGTCAGTACATCACTATCCCAATCCATCAATCCCCATACCCCATTCAAGCAAACAACAACGCGAGCAGGCATCTGCCTACCTTCGTGTTCATGCGGCCGTATCTCTTCCCGTGTCTGTCGACCAATTCATGAACGGGTCAATCGATCCTCTAATCAATCTGCTCGCGCATCATTCTGCCAAATTGTGTAAAGGTGAACATCAGGACCTTTTTCAAAGCGAACTCCGCATTGGATTTGGAAGGAAAACACAGGAACCAGTATGAGGACTGTAAATCATGACAACCTCATGTTTCCAACATTCCAACAAACATGTTTCTCCACCCACACGCCAAAGCTCCTCGCTGGACTCCATCGCCGGCACCTCTGCCTTCACTTCCGGAGGTGTCTCCTCCGCCGCGAAATCTTCGGCCTCTGCAGCCTCTGCAGCCTCTGCGGGCGCGGCGGCCGCGGCTGCCGCAGCTGCCGCGGCGTCTGCGCCGCAGATGCGGCGCAGGACGGTGGCCACGTGGCGCCACTTCCGCTTCAGCGGCTTCTTGGCGCAGCGGGAGGTTTGGAAGTGGCACCAGGAGATGCCTCGGCGCAAGGCCCGTGGAATGGGCGCCTACTAATTCGACGCCCATGCGGGAGACGCACCCTTGGCCAAAGTGCTTTCCCCTCCTGTCTGAGCACATCCGGTTGTAAATCTAGAGGGCAGGGAAGTGCACTTTTTGCTGCTGCTACATGTTGTGCATGTTGATCTGCTTGTGCATGCAGGTCTATGTCTAGTGTTTGCACTTGATTTGCTTATGGTGAGCTCCTTTTGAATAAGTTGTGCTTGAATATTAACTGATTTGCAGAGGAAACTCGCTTGGAAAATAATTCAAATTGAAATTCATTTTGACATAGAACACTTAATATTTGACTTCTAATTTAAAATGGAAATCCTGATTGGATTATATATGTCCTTCAAGTCAGTTAGAATTGAGCCGGATTTGACAAACATAAAGTATAATACATAGATTATTTAGAGGTCCACATATCGTGCCTTTTTCCCCACATCTTTGTGCGGGGTTCTTACTTTTACCGCTCGTCGTCCGCGCGCCGCGTCTCCTTCTCCTCCTCCCCCCGCCCTCCCTCCTCATCACTGTCTCACTCACTCACTCACTCACTCACTCACTCACTCACTCACTCACTCACTCACTCACTCTCACTCACTCACTTACACTCACTCAACTCACACTCACTCACTCACACTCACTCACGCTCACTCACACTCACTCACTCACACTCACTCACTCACACTCACTCACACTCACTCACTCACTCACTCACTCACTCACACTCACTCACTCACTCACTCACGCTCACTCACACTCACTCACTCACACTCACTCTCATTCACTCACTCTCATTCACTCACTCACTCACTCACTCGCTCGCTCACTCACTCACTCACACTCGCTGACTCACGGCAGCTGTCTAGAGGGACAGGATGTTGTCGCGCGCGCGGCGGGGGGTGTGCGAAATCGTGGCAGGCGCAGCACTTTGGCGATGCCGTTGCCGAAGTCGTGGCAGGCGCAGCATTCTGTGCATCTGGGTGTGTGTTTGTGTGGCAGGGGTAGCATTCGGCAGCTGTCTAGAGGGACAGGATGTTGTCGCGCGCGCGGCGGGGGGTGTGCGAAATCGTGGCAGGCGCAGCACTTTGGCGATGCCGTTGCCTCTGTCGTGGCAGGCGCTGCATTCTGTGCATCTGGGTGTGGAGATGCCATTGCCGAAGTCGTGGCAGGCGCAGCATTCTGTGCATCTGGGTGTGTGTTTGTGTGGCAGGGGCAGAAATTTGCGGCTGTCTAAAGGGACAGGATGTTGGCGCGCGCGCGGCGGGGGGCGTGCGAAATCGTGGCAGGCGCAGCACTTTGGCGATGCCGTTGCCGAAGTCGTGGCAGGCGCAGCATTCTGTGCATCTGGGTGTGTGTTTGTGTGGCAGGGGCAGCAGGCAGCTGTCTAAAAGGACAGGATGTTGTCGCGCGCGCGGCGGGGGGCGTGCGAAATCGTGGCAGGCGCAGCGTTCGGCAGCTGTCTAGGATGTTGTCGCGCGCGCGGCGGGGGGCGTGCGAAATCGTGGCAGGCGCAGCACTTTGGCGATGCCGTTGCCGTGGCAGGCGCAGCACTTTGGCGATGCCGTTGCCGAAGTCGTGGCAGGCGCAGCATTCTGTGCATCTGGGTGTGTGTTTGTGTGGCAGGGGCAGCATTTGGCAGCTGTCTAGAGGGACAGGATGTTGTCGCGCGCGCGGCGGGGGGCGTGCGAAATCGTGGCAGGCGCAGCGTTCGGCAGCTGTCTAACGGGACAGGATGTTGTCGCGCGCGCGGCGGGGGGCGTGCGAAATCGTGGCAGGCGCAGCGCGCGCGGCGGGGGGCGTGCGAAATCGTGGCAGGCGCAGCACTTTGGCGATGCCGTTGCCGAAGTCGTGGCAGGCGCTGCATTCTGTGCATCTGGGTGTGGAGATGCCATTGCCGAAGTCGTGGATGAGCTGCTCCAAGTTGGATAAGCTGCTCCACGGCTGCCCTGCCAAGCCCTCGGCGCTGCTGATGGATTCACAATGTAGGCGGAGCGGTCCGCGTTCTGTCGACATTCCAGCCGCAGCGCGCACCTTCATTGGAACCTTTCAGGAAGGCAGGCCCTGCAGGTTCCCCGCGGAGAAGCCTTGAGATGGACATCTGACTGAAAAAGCTTGACTTCATCGTCCAACGGATACCACAGTGCTATTTCTCTTTGGGAAAGTGTCCAGATCTTCTCCGATGCTGAGCTGCAAGATGACCTCCTGAGACGCACGTGCGGCGCAGCCAATAATCTAACAAGATGGACTAAGTTCGCGAATGTCTCGAACTTGCTTTGTTTTGTTGATTAGCGGCTCGGGCTGCAGTAGGTTAGCAACGCCTGCGATGAAAAGAGCGCGCTAGACCTGCTCTGTAATCGCATCCATACAAGGGGCGCACGGTACATGTGTGTGGACATTTGAACTCACATCCTTGGCAAAAACATAGCATGTGGGGTTATCCGGTCCTTTAATTTTTATCTAGCTCCCAGTCTACCATGGTCAGCTACACAGTAAAGCTGTGTTGTGTAGCGTTTTTCATGCTAAACTTACATCTCCACCAATGGCCGCCCCCAAAACTTCTTTTTCAATAGAATTCAGATGGGACTCAAGGAACACATCCAATCAGAAATTATATTCAAAATTGGAACTCAAACAAGGCCTAGACTGATTATTTTTCAAACTAGCATATTACACAGGATCTCCTTTCCAATAGACTGTTTGCTTACAAATCAGTCAACGTTCAAGCAAAATTCGCCTCGAAAAAGAATCTTCGCTTTCCCCCCCCCTCACCCATGTCGGCTGGCCCACGGCGGGCCTTTTTGCTTTCCCCCCCCCCTCACCCATGTCGGCTGGCCCAAAATCCTGTCCGGCGGGCCTTGAAATTTTCGGGGTTCGTCGGCGTCCAGCTCCATGATTCTATTTTTGTCTGAAAAACTAAAAAAATGCTTTTTTGTCCTAAAAGCATGATCTCCTGCTGGCCAGGCCCGCCTGCTGGCCAGGCCTGTCAGCCCAGCCCACCCAGCCTGCCCAGCCCAGCCTGCCCAGCCCAGCCTGCCCAGCCCAGGCGGCGCATCTCAGGGCATGCCAGCCAGGCCCGCTCACGTGTCTTAGACTCAAGCTATGCCAGCTACTAAGCCTGTCTGACGTGCCCCTCAGTCCGGCTGCCCAAGCTGGCGTGTCTTACGTGTCTGTGACTGGCAGGCCCAGCCCAGCCAGCAACTCGCCACCCAGCCTCAGGCCCAAGTGTGTGTGAAACCTGCCCAGCCCAGGCCCCGGCGCATCTCAGAGCATGCCAGCGTGCCAAGGTCAGGTTTGTCTAACGTGTCTGAGACTGGCCTCAGGCCAACAACCAGTCTCACGTGTCTGAGACTGGTCTCAAGCTATGCCAGCTACTAAGCCTGTCTGACGTGCCCCAGCCCCTCAGTCCGGCTGCCCAAGCAGCTCAGGTCAGCCTGGCAGGCCTTGACCTCCTGCTCGCGTCTGGCGCCCAGCAGGCCCAGCCTCTTCGGCGCAGTCTGAGACTGGTCTCAAAGTATGCCAGCCTCCCGCCTGCTGGCGTGTCTTACGTGTCTGCAACTGGCCTCGGGCCCAGCCCAGCCAGCAACTCGCCACCCAGCCTCAGGCCCAAGTGTGTATGAAACAGGCCTTGCCCATCCAGCAACCCGGCCCAAGTTCCATTCGCAACCAGCAGCGTAGTCCGGCTGCCCGGCAGCCAGCAACCCACCCATGGCTTCGCAGCCTCGTGGCTGAGACTAGCTTCAGGCCCAGCCTGCCCAGCCCAGGCCCCGGCGCATGTCAGGGCAGCCACTAGGCCGGCCCCCAGCTCCCAGCTGGCACCAGCAGGCTCAGCCCAGCGTGCCAAGGTCAGGTTTGTCTAACGTGTCTGAGACTGGCCTCAGGCTCTCTGACGTGCCCCAGCCCCCCAGTCCGGCTGCTCACAAGTTTTCAGTAGGATTCGGACCTTCCCAACACTGGATTTCGGTGTTCCTGACCCTTCCCTCAAACTAGGCTGGGCCGAGGCGGGCAACGCGAAGCGTTTACAATTAACTAACGACGTAGTCGAAACATAATTTATGCGTTGGGTTGCTTGGCTTTCTTGAGGTTTACTTTGCTTGTTTCTGGTCTTTGGCAGGGCTGATCCGTTGGAAAGACTGTCTGAGTGTTTTTTCCCCACTGGACAGGAAGGGGTTGTTAGATTTTATGTTGGAATCCGCGTTTGCGATGCTTCTACACCACGCCCCCGCCCAGAGCAGCTCGCCAATGGATCCCGCCGAGTGTCCTGCCAGAGCAGCTCGCCAGTCAATCCCGCCCAGGGCTTGCCAGTGGATCCCGCCGGCCAGAGCTGCACCAGAGCAGCCCGACAGTGAGTAATTATCCAACCGTGTCATGATCCCGCCGAGTATCCCGCTAAGTATCCCTTGCCGGTGCATCCTGTATCGATTTTCCCGCCAGAGCAGCTCGCCAGTCTGGTTTTGCTTAATGCCCAGCCCGGCGCACAGTTGGGTTTACATTTCATGTTGGTGCCTTCGTGCTGTGTGCACCCTGAGGCTCGGAAAGGGCGATGCTTTTGTGTTGCTTTGGGCTGCGAATAAGCAACTTCGGTAATTCCCCCGTCGGGTTTCTTTTCGGAAGGGGCTTGGCTGTTGTTAACGGAACCGATTTTTGAGTTCTCGAGATCGGCTCGCAGACAAGTGGAGTTTGACACACACACACATCCCTCAAGACCAGCAAACAAAACACACTTACACAGGTCAAACAAACACGAAACAATGCACTGCCAGAGGTATATCCAGGCATTGCTGTTATTGAGAAGTTCAAACACTCAAACGACTCTGTGCCAGCAATGTTGCAAACCCAGATGTTCACCACTGAGTGTCTTCGGAGCAAGTCCACTGGACAAAACAACCTGCAAGAAGCTGCGCCGGGGCTCAGCCTTCTCGGAAAGCTGAGTGGGCAGGCTGCCTGCAGCGCGGCAACACCAAAGCGAGGCCGCCAGGGCAGGGAATGAGCATCAAGCTATCCTCAGCTCCGGTGAAGCTTGGCTCACCAGAATTAGATGATCCAATGAAGAATGCATGCAAATTGACCAATGGAGCCTAGGCAAAGTCAAGTGTTTAGTGCGCAGAGGGACGAAATGTGGAGACAAAATCTCTCAGCCGAACATCTTGACATGCACGGTGCGTGTGAGCGTGCTCGTTCAGGCGGCTCTGAAACATGACTTATTCGAAACATGTTAATCCTTACGGTCATGCACAAAGCTAGGCGTCAAAAACTTCAAAACAGGATGTCGGGTCCATCATCCTCTCTGCCCAACGCCCCGGGCGCAAGAACACAAACCAACAATAGTCCCCAGCAAATCCGAGTTTGATGCGAATACATTGGGCCCTTCTCGCTGACCCGCAGCGGGATGCAGCAGGTGTGCCTCCCTCCCCCATGCAAAGCACGGATCCTGACGCTCAACGAAGTCCTTGTAGCTCCCCAGCGCTGCTTGCCAGCGCTTGCGCCAGTTCAAATGCCTCTCTTGCTGCTGCACTTCAACCTGCAACCAGCTAAGACTTGTAAGAAATGGCAAAGTGACAGCTGTTGCTCAAGGACCGCTCGATCAACGCAACCCTGCCAAGCAACAAAGCGAGTTTGGTTTGACATGATTGCATATGCCCGTAGATATGTTACTGCAACGTGACATAAGCGCGCGCATGTGTAGGTATCGTATCAGTGTCGGCGCATGTTCCATGCAACAGATTTATGGTATGCTGGCAGCACCTACTACACAGAAACATGCCTTTGACCAAACAAAAAACACACCTGCGTAGACCCCAGTCAATCTCGCAAAAACACACCTGGCCGTCACCAGACCCCCCAAGACACCACCTGCGCCAGCCGTCAATCTTGCAAGAACGCCACGCCCGTCACCATTATTTACGAAGAAACTATTGACACCCGGAATGGACAGTTTTCAGTACAAGCGCAGGTGTGGTCTGTCTGGGGTAGTTTTAGGGCGGGCTTTTGTCTCGGGTTCAGCTCGGGTTTTGGGTTTTAAGCTGGTTTAGGGGTAGTTTCGGTGGGTGTGGGTGTGTTTTAAGGTCTGTTTAGGGTGGATTTAGGGTTTACTCAGTTCCAATGGTTTTGTTTAGGTTGGTTTGGGGTAGGTTTAGGCTTTGGCTGGGTTTAAGGCGGGTTTACTGTTTGTTTAAGGTTCGTGTAGGGTAGGTTTTATGGGCGGTTTTAGGGTTGGCTTAGGGTTGGTTTAGGGTGGGTTTAGGGTTGGTTTAGAATTAGCTCAGCGCTGGCTCAGGGCTTTTTTAGCTTAGGTTTGAAATTGGTTTGGGGCCCAGGGTGGGTTTAGGTTTAGGGTTGGCTTGGGGCGGGTTTAGGGTTGGTTTAGGACTGGTTTTAGTGCGGGTGCGGGTTTGGTTGGTTTAGTTTAGGGTTAGTTTGCGATGGGTGGTTTGGGTTGGAGGGTAGGTTTGGGGTGGTTTAGGGTAGATGGAGATTGGTTTAAGGTAGGTTTAAAGATGAGCTGTGTAGGGTTGGTTTAGGGCTGGCTTGGGGCTGTTTTAGTTTGGTTTTGGGGTTGGCTTAGGGTGGGTCGGTTGAGTGGGTTTAGGGTTGGTTTGGGGTCTGTGTACGGGCTTGGCCCCCGCAGCTCGGATTAGCTACTAGTCCCGGGAACAACTCGCCTAATTTCCCCGTGCTCTCCAAGTTAGCCGACCGCAAGTTTTTCAACCTGGATCACAAGCCGTCAGCGTGGCGTGGCGGCTTCTCCTGCGGCTCGCCACGACGTCAACGCTAAAGGAACCGGGATGCGCGTCCGGAGGGGTGGGCGCCAAGCGAACAGTGCGGTTGGGCTATTGTAGGCACGCTGGGGTGCGGCAGGAACCACTAAAACATGTGTTTATAAAAGGGGCCCGAAAAATGGTTTCTTGCTTTACTTCACCGCTTGCTGTCATTAACAACCCGTTGGTGGTGAACACGGAACACATTCTTTATTCAGTACAAGCGAATGGGAACCTTAATAGGAGTGGGGCACGGGATGGTTTTCTTTGAGTCTCTGTGGGTCTCTCCCGTTACTAGGATTGGCTGACCTTATGCACAAATAGGGTTTCAAACGGAAATAATATGATGGGCCTTTCGATTGTGTCATGATTCCCTTTTTTGCGCGGCCGCCTTTCTGCCAGGCGGGCGCGGAAACACGATTACCCATCTTTCTCCTTGGCTGGCGCCACTGGACATGGGATTCCCGGAAGTCGTGCCCCGGGCAATAACTGCTTCCGCTTTTCTTTGCTCACCCCCAAGGATTCAACAGTTGCTGTTTGTCAAACCAAATGCTTTCAAAACCACCTGTTTAGACACAAACAACGCGTGGCAGCCGCGCAGCCCCCGGACATGTTACAAAACCCTGTGCCCCCTAGCTGGCGTTCCCTGGCGCGCGCCGCAAGCTGCCCGCCTTCTTCTTCGTAGCGAGAAGCAGTCCCCGCAAATTCTCCGGCCCGGAGCGCCAGCCGCCAAGAAACAGAAGCGAACAGTGGCAAGGGGGCAGTCGCCTTCCAAAAACAAAGCCTAGAATTTGCTCCCGACCACTAACAAGCAAGTCTGTCGAGGGATGGAGCATTTCCGCCAAACCAAGAGAGATCGCCCTTAACGAGGGGGAATCGCCCCAAACTGCCCCCGCTAATTCGCGCCCTGCAGCCACTCCGCCAAGCTTCCCATGGATTTTGCCCTAAAACCCAAAAAGCCCGAACAAACAAGCCACTCGCCAAAGGCAGCAATCTATTCCACACCGGGTCTCAGCAAAGCCTTCTCGGACCTCATAGGATCCGGACATTTGAGGGACCAAAGGAACACGAACAGTCAAAAGAGGGCCGCGGAGATACTTCTGTTAGGACTTTCCCGTACCGCTTCAATACCAGATGTTGATCGTGGCCCCGGCGACTTGACCAGCAGGCCAAAAACCAACATGCCAAACAACAAGCGACAAATCAGTCACGTCCAGTCCCGCGAAAAGCCGAGTGATTGACGGGGGCATTCCTTTAACCACGAAAACAACCTTTGAGCTCGAGAGGTGCTGTTTGCCAAACCAAATCCTTTCAAAGCCACCTGTTTAGACACAAACAACGCATGGCAGCCGCGCAACCCCCGCCGGACATGTTACAAAACCCTGTGCCCCCTAACTGGCCGTCCCTGGTGCGCGCGCTCTGCCGGCCGCCCACCTTCTTCGTGGCGAATTCCCCCAAACTCGCCGGCCCGGGGCGCCAGTCTTTGAGAAACGGAGGCGAACAAGGGAGCAGACAAGTCGCCGTTGAAAAACAGGGCCAGGGGGCCATCCCGCAAAGCCTCCTCGGACCGCCTGGGATCTGGACATTTCGGGGGACCGAAGGAACATGAACAGCCGAGCCATTCGAGTCACTCCCCTCACGCAGCGATCATGTGTGGGCATGAAATTTAGAGGTTTCCTTTGGGCTGCTGCTTCTTTGGTTTCCCTGCCGGAAATCGCCAGGCAGAAGGCCAAGCAGGCAGCGGAGGCCCACGGGCGGCTTTGCTTTGGGCGACGGCCAGGCGCGGAGGACGACGAGATAGTTGCCTGGCCGGCATGCTTTGCGCGCCTGGCTGTGGCAGAGCGCTGCAGACGCCACGCGGTCGGAGATGCAAACTCCTAGGCCCACCTGCAAGTACGCGACGGCAAGGACCAGGCGAGGTGGATCTAGATCCCAGCGTGCGCACTCCAGCGCAAGTACGCCGCACGCCTTGGCGTGGTCCGGCGGTTTGTGGCCGTGCTCCTTGTGTAACAGACAGTGCCAGCTTCACTGTACCACTCGGGCGAGCGGCGCCGTCCAGACCAGATCTACCGCCTGGCCAAGGAGACGGAGCAGGAGGAGCAGAATGTCATGAAGGCGTCCGGCCGCTTTTGGAAGGTGAGGCAAAGCCTCGCGATCTCGACGGCAATGTTTTGCTGTCCCGAGTTTTGGGCGTGTGTGTGTGTGGGTGTGTGTGTGTGTCTGTGTGTCTGTGTGTCTCCGTGTGTGTAAGTGCGTGCTTGGTGTGTGCTTGGGGTATGTGTGTGTGTGTGCGTGTCTTGTGTGTGTGTCTCTGTGTGTCACGTATGTGTGTGTGTGTGTGTGTTTGTATTTGTGCGCTTGCTTGCTTGCTTGCTTGCTGGCTGGCTGGCTTGCTTGCTCGCTTGCTTGCGTTGGTTTGTTGCGTGTGCTGAGTCGGGCGCCCGGTCGTCTTTTGAGACATCGGGCCACGGGGCCAACGCGGAACAAGCGGCGCTTGCGTGATGTTTCTGAATGGGATCCACACAAGGAAGCACAAGATGCAATCGCAGCAAGGAGCATTGACTTTGAACACCCATCGGTAGAAATGAAACGTGGTCGAATTCCGCGGATGCTGGTACCTTCTCAAAGAATATGGGTTTCCCACAGTTGCCGACAACCGGGTTCCCACATTTCTCAACGAGAACGAGTCACAGCATTGGCCCCGCTCCACATTGAGCGTGGAACTGCATTTCCCGGTTCACGCCACAAATTGGTATCAAAATGGCTGGAGTCACAAATTCGGCCGTGACTGATCAAAAAGCTGTTCCTCCCCAGCAATTATGCTGAAGTCTCTGGTGGCACGAGCCAATGCCACTTCTGGGATCCCACTGCGGCACGTAAGCCATCCCGACTTCAGAGTAACCCCGGCAATCGCTTGGCTGAACGCTGGCAGCACTCTCACTTCCTTCATTCAACCCGGCGAGAAACAAGTTTCCGCTCAGCAAGGAAGGCCTGAGCGCAGCCCCGAACAAAACACCCTGCTGTACTGAACTCCCATAACTGCCATGAATGAAGCCTGCGCTACATATGTTGGTGTTTTTCGTCATTTAGGCGGCAAACAGGGGGAAGCAGGGGGGTGCGAGAAAAGGATAGAAACTAGGGGTCGCCTAGGCAGTATGGAACACCGAGCCACGCAAAGAAACCCGAGGTTATACCAACATGGATAAAACAAGCGCTATGGTCCTGCGTACTACGGGTGGCTACTACATAGCCGGGCCCGGGCCCGGTGTAGGGTAGTTTTAGAGTGGGTTTGGGCTGTCTAGGGCCAGTTTAGTGTTTTGCTTTGTGTAGGCGAAGGGTGGGTTTAGGGTTGGTGTAGGGGTGGCTTAGGGCTGGTTTTGGGCTGGTTTAGGGTTGGTTTTCGCTCCTACCATTCCAAGAAATCAAGCCCTCGCAGGTTGTCTTCAACAAAGTGTTTCTCAGGCTTCCGACTCTAACTCACATGTTCTAGACAGGGGTCTGGATATCAGCGTGTGTTCGCCAAACGCTGCAGGACACAAGAATGGCCGTGCCATTGGGGATGATGTGGACGCTGGGAGTGTTGCTGCTGGTTCCAAGGCCGGCCGCTACAGCCTCAACTCTTGCCTGAAGGCGCCCTGGGCCTTGCTGGCCGTTTCAACTGCTAGCGTAGAGCGCTTTGCTGGTAATGCTAATCACCATCCTCATCGTTGCTGGCGTCAGGCCCCGCTGGCGCTGGCGATTCTCAGCGTCGTGGCGCCACTCATCATCGTGGTCGTCGCAGCACTGTTGTTTGGCAAAGGACTATGCAGCAACGCGCGGCACTATTTTCGCCGATGGGCAAAAGTCCGGGCAGCCGGCGCGGCGGACGGGCGGAACCGGCTGAGAGCAGGCAGGCACGCGACGCGCGCGCGGTTCATAGCGGCTGGCAGCCCGGACAGACAGGGTGTGGTGGGAAAACGGCAACTGCAGCGTAGAGCCAGAAACTGCGGGGCCGTTGCGATCCCAAGCCAAACAGCCCAGTGCATGCACAAGACCAGAGGTTGCGTTCGGGAGACAACGAGCAAATCTCGTCCAAGTAGATCTTGCGACACCGACGCAACTCACGATTGAGAAGACGGATGAAGAACTGACAGCGACTCAAGTCAGGCTATGGCCAACACAGGCATTTGAAAAAGGGATGATGGTAATGGTGTGTGTTCTTCTGAACAGAATTTGGGTCACGCCCGCGTAATCACAGGTGCGACTGGGATGAGTTTGATCCAATGCAGCGGTGTGCCATCATGCGTTCATCCGTTCACAATTCTTTTTCAGAGGCAGCAGCCATCTAGCCGGCACCATGCCAAATCCAACCCAGGCCTCCTGCAGATCAGCATCCTCCAACGCCGGGCCCATGACTGCCTCACATGTCCGTCCGACGGAATGCCACCGGCCAATCCACCACAAAGTGTGGGTTTAGGGTTGGTGTAGGACTGGTTTTAGGGTGGGTGTAGGTTTGGTTTAGGGTCTGTCTAGGGTGGGTTTAGGGCGGGTTTAGGGTTGGTTTAGGGTGTAGGTTTGGTTTAGTTTAGGGTGGGTTTAGGGTTGTTTTAGAGATGGTTTGGACTGGTTTAGGGTGGGTTTAGGGTTGGTTTAGGGGTGGTTTAAAAGTTGCGCAGGGTGGGTGCCAAGCTTGGTTTGCTTGTGGGTGTTGGGTCGGTCATGGTGGGGTGTGGGTTTGGCTCAGGGTCGGAGAGCCCAAGAGACCAGGAAAATAGGAGACCAGGAGACCGAGAGACCTGGGCGAGGAGAGGGCGACCAGGCGACTAGGAGACCAAGGGACTAGGGGAGTAGGAGACCAGGCAAGGGACTATGAGACCAAAAGACTTGGTCTCAATAATATCTTTTTGATCCCCAATTTTGTTGATCCCCTAAATAACTGTTTTTTGATGCTCATCCCGCCCCCCCAAACCATCCGCGCCATCATCACTCCCAGAGCACCCGGCCGTCAATCTCGCAAATATGCAACTCAAAGAGCACCCCAAACACCATCCCAAAACAGCACCTTCGCCAGCACACCAAACTGCATGCCTAGCGCCAATCTTGCAAAAGTGCGGCCGAACTGTCACCTGCACATCTCAAAACACTGTCACCTGCACCCCCCAAAACAGCACCTGCGCCAGCACCCAAACTGCATGCCGTCACCCTGCCGTCAATCCAAATAAAATGCGCCCGCGCCATCACCAGCAGCTCGAACAGCACCAGCACCAGCACCCCAAACTGCATGCCCCCTGGCACCCAGCCGGCAATCTCGCAAATCACTTTCCCCTCTTTACTAGAAGTTAGACCTGTAGCTTTGAGCTATCTGGCGAAAAACAATGAAGGCGTCATGACATATTAATGAACACATATAACTAACATAGCAGGTATTGTATGCTGTTAACATATATTTCAATACCACAACATTCTGTCGGATTTGTTTACATCTATATGATCCATGTTTGCCACATCCACTCAACATTTAAACCCTCAACATGCTATGAAAGAACTCTTTGGGCATCGCTTCGCCGGTTTCGAGCCCCGGCCGGGAAGTCCGCGGAGGCAAATTGGCGCAGCAGCTCCGCCATTGCACCGGCGGAGGCGCCGTCGTCGCGACGGCGCTGTGGAGGCGCCTTTGGCTTCCTGGCGCTGGAAGGAAACGGATTGAAAATTCTACAATCATTCCAAGGATTGCAAATTCTATCATTCCAAAAGGTCAAAACCTGAAAGAAGAGATCACCCACGTAAAGGACCTAAGTCATAGTGAGCTGTTCTCTTCTTTTGTGTACCATGTCGCCGGAGCGCGAAGTGGAAAACAGTATGCATTCCAGGGACTACCACCTGCCTTCGTTTTACCCCCAGGCGAGCCCGCCATGGAATAGGCAGAAGGGTCAAGGCCAGCCAGCGCACGCCGAACACACAAGAATGAGTCTTGGTGCCAGTGTAATGAAAAGGAAATAAGCTTTGCAGAACTTGAGCAGCACCAAAATGATAGTCGCTTGGGCTGTACTTAATCCAGAGAGATACCTACAGCGCTCTATGCGCAACACAAGGCGTCGCCCAAAGTCAGGTCCAAAGGACACTTTCAAAGAAGCGGTGCTCCCAGAATTGCGTTCCTTGTGATGCCAATCCTGATGAAGGTATCATTACGATGTGCTGCTACACTAACGCGCAGCACGTCCCTGCTAAGCACAGGACTCCGCATAAGCTATCCTCAAGCTTATCAATTACAACTGCCAATGCAACACATAACACAGGTTGATTCAATGGAGCCCAAGCTTGGCAGCCGCAGTATATGCTGTACCCTGTTCTCAAAGCAGCAAGTGAGGACACACCAACCAAGACATACTACCTCATGTCTGACGTAGATGCGTGGATTGCGTTGGTTTTTTGTATAAGCCTCCTCTTGTTCTATGAATAAAAAAACGCAAGCCAAACATGAAGAAATCATGAAACAACATGTAAAAAAGTGCCGTGTCAGTCACAGCTTCAAGGTTGGCTCGTGTGCCAACGCTTGAAAGCTGCTCGCGCTGCATGTGGCACGCTCGCAACGTGCATTCTTCGCGACCTTGCTGACGAAACACGCCTTGGCCGTGGTGCGGCATGCGCTTCCAGGGCCTCCAGCTGGCAGAAGCCAGCCATGCGCTGCAGCTCCTGTGCGTTTGGAGACCTCAAGTTAGGGGCCCTGGACCCTGGATCCATCACTTTATCTAAGAGGGCTTACACCCGGTATTTTGGGGCCCCTGGGGGTTTGCCGAGAAGCTTTCTTGGATCATAGATCCGCTCGTGTTTGACTAGAGCCTGCCATCGCCTTCGGCCACAAAGCTCGGGACCCACGCTACCACCCGCAACAACTCTCGCACTACGTCTTTGCTTTGGCTCTTGTGGTGGTCGGTTGACGGGGGCTGGCAGGTGCACCGCAGCCCCTACCTGCGCAGAGCCTGAGGAACACTTCCACGAATGCTGGTGAATTCCTGACAGGAAGTGGAAAGGAGAGGAGCTGGAACGGGCATGTCGTTTCACCGACCACGTTGGGTAACAACCTGTATTGTGCGACAGGGGAATCCTTGCGGGCCCTCCCTCCATTTGTCGAAACCTGCAACTTGTGCCACGATAGGAATTTGCTCCTCCGCCTCCTCGGCATCGCCGGCCTCGCGCATACTCCGCAGCGTTTGCTGCAGCAAATCCGTGAGGTCCTCTGCCGGGCCAGGCTCGTCTGCTGACTCTACGCCGTCCTGGCAGGACCAAAGTGCTACATTCGCCCCTTTGCCCATAAGGAAAAGGATCTATGAAACATCGTTAAACATTCGGAGCCAGTCATATGGTCATCATCATCTGAACCTGCGATGTATGACACTGTTGCAATTCTGCCACCAAGTAGTCTCCCGCCCTTTATCGCCCTTTTGGGAGCAATCTTCCAAGGCCCAAGGCACCCAGGCATCAAGTGCACAGGAAAATGCGCTCCCTTTGGCTCCTCCGTAAGCCCCTGGCGGCCCGCGTTGGCCCGTGCCGCCAGGGGCGCTGCCAGCGCCCCGGGGCGCAAGGCCGTGCCAGCGCGGTAGCCCATGCGCTGCAGCAACGTGAAGCCCAGGCCGTAGGTGGCCGACAGCTCCTGACGTGCGCACGCTACACATTCAGTCCCAAGGCTCGAAGGAGCAACTGGGAAACTGAAAGGTCCGCAGTGCGGGATTGAGTGTGTACGTAATTCTGTGCCACTTGTCACTACGCCCGACGACGTCTGTGGCTTTAGGCAAAGCCGTCCTTTCGACCTTCGAGTGCCAAAGTGTGCAAGCAAGAAGCATTGCAAGCATGGTTTCCAAGCACGAGCCCGGCGAAGGCTGAGCCCAGATTGGGGTAAGCGCCCTCATATTTCAGAAAAACGTCCTCGATCCAATAAAAAGGCGCCCAATCCAAACTTAAAGAAATTTCTGAAAAGGCAAAAAAACTGCACACTTAAGACGTCACAGGAACACTCATATTTCATCATGCCCCTCTGCCCAACTACTGACAAGTTGCTTGCAACAAACAGCGCCGCTCACATAATCCGCACTGCCCGCCCGCAGATCGCTGCAAGAGCGTGCTCAAACAAATATCCAGGCATCCATCAACACGTCAAATGCTTCTTGAGATGTCCTGCTGCGAGAGTGGTGGAAGCTCATCTTTCTGTCCACGTTCATCGCCGGGCAAAGTAGTCGATTCCTCGGCAAATGGCAATGGTAAAAGGCAGCTTCTAGGAGGTCCGTGAAAGAAAGGGAGGGCACTGCCTTGGGCTTTAAAGTAGGTATCAGCTGGTCCATAGCCAACCACCCACGCCCAATTCACCAGCCTTGCAATCCCCCCATCAACCATCCCCGCGAGGATTCACACTCAAGAAAAAAGGACATATTTGTTCCGGGGTTCGCATCACGTGGCGTCGAAAGTGAAGGCTTCCCTCCTGCAACTAAAACTCCAGAAAGAGTTCAAGCAGTTTGACATGCCTGATCACATCCCCCTATCACCAACCTGGCTTCACGGTGTCACTGGAATTAAGCGGGACGCTCGCTGTGCCAAGCCTCGGTGGCCTGAAGGAAAGTGGTGACCCGCGGCTTCTTGCGGCTCGTCTTTCCGCGCATCGGGCCAGCGAGAAAGCCGTGGGGAAATCAAAGGGATGCCAAGGGAACCCCCGGGGTGACCCATGCGTTCCAACAAATGGGTCTTCGGATGCTACACACACATTGACGCATCAGTAGCTGGCAGTTTCGGGAGATGTTGAAGACATGGAGATGTTGTACTGCGTGATTTAGCACTGGATGAACAGCAGGGAAGATGTTGTTGAACTCGAATGTTGGCGTGAATGTTGAATGGCTAGTAGCAGTAGCAAATGGCAGTTCATTCTACCTCTGTGACTCTGTGCCCGTGACTTTAGAACGTACGCACGGGCATCTCAGCTGTGAGAAAATGATGAGAATACATTTTAGTCAAATAGACTGGAGCCATGCAAGTGTCCCAGTCTGTCCATATTAGTTGAGGCGCGAATGCGATCGGCTTGCATGGACTTTGCAAAAACGCAGCACCTTGTGAGCCAAAGTCATAGATTCTGCCAAGGAAACACAAACGAAGGGGCTGCAGTTCAAGCGGGTTCTAATTCAACCTTGACTATACTGAAGACTCCCCCTGACACATGTTAGCCTCCAATCTACAGGCCATCACATGATCAAGACAGGCATCATGCCTGAGCTCACAGTGGTGCTGTTGTCATCGTCCGACTCCTCGCCGTCCTCCCCTGCAAGGTTCTTGTGTTCGGTTGGCTCAAGCAGGGCTCAGCACGTCTGAGTTTCCTGCAATGGACAAGAAAACCAGTGAGCTCACCCTGGTGTTGGTGGGAAACTTACAGAGAGACCATGTTCTTTTACAATTAAGCATAGACTTCAGGATTTTGACCAATTTTCAGAATATATGACTAGTCATTGCTATGCTGCCATGATTCCTCATCATGCCGGTTGTAGCACGCCTGCCTTGCTACCCCGCCCCCATGTGCAGGCTGAAGAAGCAACCACTATAAGCTGCACTTTACTTCCACTAGAAATAGCCTCGTTTGATGTAGGCATGCTGAACCCCAAAACACGAATATCTCCAGTTCAGCTGTGTTTTATCGTGTAGGGTCTTCTCTGAAGAGCTGGTCCTTCCTTCGCAGGATGCTTTTCAAGGAAAATCGTGCACACGCCTGGGACGTCTGCGGTGGCTGCGACAGCTGCCTGCAAATGCACGGCTTCAAAACTGCAATCAATGAGTCGTAGCTGGACATGATGCACATGGAAATAACTGAAAGCAACGCCTATGCTAATTTGGATTCGGCTGTCTCCAACCAATCTACCAATAACAGAACATCAAGCACCACTAGCCGACAAGTCAAGCACACACTTAAAGACATACAGCTGAATTTCACTGTAAACACTTGTAAGACTAAGATTTCAACCACATCAACGGTCTAGACAAATGCCATGCGTGCCTCCGCCGCTTGCTGGCCCTCCACACCCACCGCCTTGAGAACAAGAGGAGGCACATTCAGCTACTGGGCTAGCTATGCCTTGCGCTGGCACCTCTGACCTCTTGGGTTGGTCTCATATGCAACCCTTGCGGGTGCTTAGTAAGCTCTGTGGGCCGCTCTCTCTTTCTTGCACTGTTTCTCTCCTAGGCGGGACCAAGACAACGAAGAGCATTAGCCCCTTGGAGGATCCTTTTAGGTTTCTGGGGCTGCTCCATTCAGGGTACCCTCAAAAACAAATATGACTCATGCTGATTGATTGAGGGCTCTAACCAGTCTTGGTGAGAATCTCGTGGAACAAGGAACAGGGCGACAATGTCACCCAAAGCTTCGTATACATGCCACATGCAACCGTGTTCAAAATTAAAATTCGAGCAGCTGGAGGAAAAGCCATCGGACAAAAGCTGGCACTGCAGCGCAGTCTCTGAATCGCAGGTAATTCGTTTCTGAATCAGTGCCTGATCTAGAAGACTTCAAAGGAAGCGGAGGGCAACAAACATGCGCCTGTCTTGGCTGCTCCCCGCTGAGCGCAGCCTGGCCGTCAACATCTCATCAATGGCGCCCTGTTCGAATTGCGAGATACTTCAGAACAAATAACAACAATTTGGAACCAACCGGTAGCACAAGCAGCCTTCTGCCAACAAGTCAGCGACAATCGTGACCTTCAACCAGCAGGCGCTCGCTGCAGTTGCAAGCATGCTTGCCCCCTGTCGGTGAGCATGGCTAAGTTGGATATGCGAGCCATCCGCAAAGGCGTCAGTGTGCCAGCTTTGACACCATCAGCAAATTAAATTAGGACCCGTCTGCTTGCTTTCGAAGGCATGGCGAACAAGGAACCAAAGCCCACTCTCTCTCTCGCTCTAAACCAGACAGCCAGACCCTGACGGCAGCGAGCAACTCGCGTTTCCAAGCCTCAACCTGGCTGATGGCTGTCACCATGGAACAACACTCCGATTCTCTAAACGTATGTTCCACAAGGGTATGCTTGGTTGCCGCAAAGTGGTCGTGTGGCAAAAAGTAACCTTATCTTGTAGTTGGCAACTTTTCGTGGGCACCGACCCAGTCCAACAAATTAAGCAGGGTTGCATGGCGACGCTGCTCCGCTTTGCTACATCAATGCGCAACCTTTCCCTGGGCAACCAGGAACCCTCGAATGTTGATGTGGACGACTGTTAGTGTCACGACACCGGACTATTTAGATCAATGTTGCATGTGCTTTTTTTGTTTGCTTGTTTGTTTGTTTTACAACGGCGTTGGCAAACATGGCAATGCTTTAGACAGTTTGACCTGAAAACCAACATTGATCCCTATCAATGCTGTACATGTGAATTAGAGGATGCCTGCGCACTGTCCAACACGTGCTACGAAAAGCCTTGCATGCTGCGTCACAGCCCCGGAAACAACATCCGCGGAAACACGCTTCTTTGGAGGGAAAACACCTTGGCACAGGTTAACTTGCAATCTCCACACTGCCAAATGATGGGAAAGGTAATGACAATGTGCCACCCCCGCCTGCTCTGATTGCTCACGGGTGTCTGTGACCTGGGCATCGCAAATGTGGTCCAACAGCTGAAAAGTCCACGCATCCGCCAACATTGAATTTCAGGTGAAACTCGCTGGTGTCCGCAAAGTCTATAACAATCTCAACGCTCCACAGGACAGTGTCAGTTATTGCTGCTTGAATGCTTTGCTTCAAGCATTAAAAGCAATCGCTGCTGTTGATTTGCCTTCCTGTACGACTAGCCATGGATTCAAGCTGCAACAAAAGTGAGCGAAATTAAATGACATGAAACCATGTACCGCTATCAAGATCGTGACCTCGTTGCCTTCAACAGCACCTCTCCAAAGCATCCCCGCTCCAAAGCCGTGCTGAGGTGCTGAATCACACGGTGTGTTGTGATTCTACACGTCAACCATGGCAGCTCCCTTCCGTGGGCAAACTAGCGATTTTCGAGCAATTTCCCCTCCAACCCCAAATCCAACCGCATTAGCATACGAAACCAATACCATACCAATAGGAAACCAACATTCAACCAAATCTCAACTTAATCAAGTATCGAAACGGGTCACTGATTTCCTCTGCTTAGATTCGTTACTCGGCAAGTGTTACTCCAAGGCCGTGGGACTGAAAAGGACCGAATCGGAACTCCGATTTGTCAATCATATAGTTTTAGGATGTTTTAGGTGTGCCAGATTAGAAGCTTGGGTGTTCTGTATCCTTGACCAGATTGTTTGATGGCACAGTCCCAACCTCGCCCAGGCCACCGGACCCGCGCCAAGGGTGCCACCCTACGTGCCCCCAGGGCTGCAAGGGCCCCATCAGCACGGACCTCGCGTCGACTCTGAAGCGAAGCAGCCAGGCATTCAACGACTTCACAGGTCTGGCCTGAAATACGAAATCCGATGACCTGCAAATGCGAAGACGTATTGATGCAGCCAAGTACTAGTCAGAAGCAAGCAGCAAAATATGCGTTCTTGCAGCTTGCAGTTGACTTCATGCCCCTGACTAGCTGCAGGAGCCCTGAATGCTCAAAGTTCTCTCGGGACAGCGCTGCAGCAGTGCAGAAATGGCCAGCCGCCGCCTCAGCAGCATGCGTGCGGCAACATGCTTTAACAAAAAGCCGTCTGACAGTCAAGCCCCTGTACACGGAGGGTCAAGCATGCAAACTCTGTCCACCAGGCCCACACAAACTGCTCGAGCTTCCTTGCGGCAGCATCTGAGAATCTGCCTTTGTCGATCCTGCTGCAAGTCGCTTAGAGCCCGGCATAAACGGAGCTACCAAAGCCAAGCACCGCCTAGGGGGCTTGAAATGAGTGGCACGTCAATGCACCTTGGCTACGCTCAAGTGTATAATATGTGCAAAAAGACCAATTCATGCCACCTACTTGAACAACGCTTTACAACTTGAAATGCACGAGCATCTCAGCAGGTTGCCTGATCAACATTGTTCTGCTCAATGGAGCCTTCGGCCCGAGGTCAACATTGTGTTGTCCTTCCTTGCCCCAAGTTAGTAGCAAGGCCCTCAAGCAAAATGTCTCATTGCAGCTCATGGGGAAGTCGGTCGGGACGTGAGTCCCTATGCAAGCGCCCTGCCAGCGTGTGAAACCTGCCCCAATGCAACGAGCCAACATAGCGGCCAGGGCTAATTCCTGAGGGTGTGAATCTACTCGGAGATCCTTTCATGCACATCATGCACATCATGCACATGGGAAATGATGTCCACTCACTATTGGGGAAGGTGTTTCCCATCGGATTTCACAGCCAAACACAGTCGCCAAACACAGGCCCGGGCAAAGTGCAAGTGGCGCATGGCAGACCTGCCGACTCGGAAGTCGTGCACATGATCTGCCAAAAGCATACCTGAGCTGGGCAAACTTCAAGGGCTGGAGGGCACGTCACAAGCAAAACCCGGTGCTAAAGGAGGCTACCCAAGCCAATTGATTGGCCCTTAGTAACCTTGACTTACCCAGGTTTTGATTGTGGCTCATGTTCGGATATAGCAAATGGATGAAACGAGCACTACCATGGAGCCTCGTGCTCCAACCAATGCTGCATCCTGCCATGCCCGTCTCTCAGCACCCTGCCAAAGTGGGCAGAGCTGGGTGGCAGCAAGCCGTCGCTGTGTGTGGACCTCAGAATTTCTTTATCGAGTCGAGCAATCTGGGCCGCATTGGTGCATGTATGCCGTTATAGCCAGAACACCCGTTTGATGCATCGCTCCCAATCGGCTAGAAGTCCATTTCAAAAAAGATCACTGCCATCCCACGGAGTGCTATGACTGCCTAGCATCATGCTGAATAACTCTGCCATGTCAACCAATTGAATAGAAGAGAGAGTGAATGAATGGCTGTTTGCAGCGCTTCATGCTTCGCACGGATTTGCGGCAAAATGATATGTAATGGACAATCCAAATACGGGCATCATATGCATGTATACTTAAAATAACAACATGCATATACACAGGTATACACCAGGACCCCCGCCCATACCAATGTTACAAGAACCTGCAAAAGGCTTCCTAGATTGATCAACATGCATATATCTATCATATAATAATACAATGTGAAATATATAATTCCATTATATATCCATTGAGGGTACACATCAAGCAATCAAAGCTCCTGGCAGCAGCAACGCCACGATTTCGGTAGCCTGCGGCATGGCGGCTCAAAGATGTCACAGAAAAGCTGAAGGCGAACTCGAGAACTCTATAGCAGTCTCGCAATGAAAAGGCACATGCCACCCTGCCTCTGCAGATCCTTGGCATGCTGCAACTACACAGAAAACCCCATCGACTCAAACTTAAACTCCAACACCTCAAGTTTGGGTCTAGTAAGAACTGCGTTGTCTGCCACGCAGTTGCGAGAACGTATCAATTTTGCTAAGCAGCTTGAATCAAATCAAAGCTTATCACAAACCTCGTATACTCTCGCAACCTTGCCTCTCTGCACTTCAACTGCAACTTGTCGCGTGCTTCAGCTCGTTTGCTCCATCCCGCGCAGGGATTAAACACATCCCACGTTGGTGCTGCTGTGACATACCGGTTGCTCTGGAGCAAAGTCAAACACTTCCAACTGCAAGAATTGCCATTGCAGCCTAATAGTGATTATTAGGGCCATGAAGCACCAGAAGCCCTTCTCCCCGTTCTTGGCTCTGTATTCGAGCACAAACAAGTCAATTCAATATCCTGTCCATGCAGATTTGGGGAAGTGTCACAGCAAACAGTTGAGCCGCCAACGTGCAAGCAGCTCGTCGAAAGCAAAGGTGGACAAATCCTCCACGGTAATCTGCAGCCCCGCCTGAAGTAAAGCACAAATCAACGGGCTGATTTCTGGTGCTTGTCAATGGCCGCAGGGAAGCCAAGACACCAGTGACTCTCCTTCCAAGTGCCATAGTGAGATGTCCCAAACCCCTGCCTCACCGGCCTCGGCCTGCACTGCCTGCGCCAGCGCCTGGGCCTTCGCAGTCCATATGGATCTCTGATGGGTTGCAATACAATGGGTGGGGCATGGATTGTCAACGATAAAGGCCACTAAGCTTTCAAAGCTGAGGCACTGCGCAAGGAATGCCCAATCAAACGTGCCCAATAGACAAAGGCTGAGAGCCCGCGCGAATCTCTCAGAGGTACCGGTGGTGGATGCATACCTTGAGAGCCGGGCTAGTAGAACAAATCACAGATCTGCCTAAAGGGCTGGGCGTTGAACCCAACGTTTCATCATGGGCATATCTCACCTGCACTGACATGAACATGACTTGCTCAATGTACATGTTATGGCCTTTTAAAAGACGCTGACAGGTGGGTAGAACATGGGTTATAACAACACAAGAGCGAACCAACGGTTAACGGTACCGTTGTTTGGCTTTGACAGCTTCTTGTTACAACCCGTCTTGTGCGCTGGACTCCGCTCGCAGGCTAAGCTTCTGGCAACAATCTCAGGCGAACGACCTGGTCCCATACACCACAAAATCTGTGTTGAAGCAGCTGATAGCTCCCTCCTGTGTTCGTGTACACTATCCTTGTTTTGACTTTCCTGGCCTTTGCTCAGGGGGACGGCTCATGCTTATCAGATTCAACTTTGAACATGACGCATTGAGCTCCAAGCACCTTGTGTCAAAATCTGTCTGGCTGCATGACATCTTGACACAAGTGCACCATTCAGGGCACCGCATCTACTAACTGAGTTGAGATGCATTTGTAGCGGCGTTTAAACTGTGGATCTTGGTAGCAAGTTTGCCAACTTCTGCCAGGCTTGTACATGCAAGTAGTTTGGGTACTTGTGGTGAACTCTACTGGTTGCGTGGGCACTGCGAAAGAAGCTTATGCGCCTACCAAAACAAATACAACTTTCTAGTGTGGCCTTACAAAGCCAGTCTTGCCTTTCAGTCATCCCCGCCAGCCTAAATCACTACAAAACACTGCAAACAGCCAGGCAACCAGCTACCCGATCTCTCACACAGTCCTCACTCAAAACCTATTTAAAGTAAACTCCATCAGAAGCCACTGCAGTTCGGCTTGAGCTGCGGACTGTCGGACGCCGGCGCTTGCGGAGCACAGCCCAAGCGCCCAGGCCTTGCCAAACCCGGGCATCTTTGGCGGCCACGGCTGCAAAACCAAAATGCAAGTTAGACGTGCAACAAAAACAATTCACCCACGGCTCAAAACCTTTGTCCCGTTCCGGATTGGGCCGAACACTCTTGTTTGGGACAATCCGGACCAGTTGGATGGAGCATTCAGAAGCTTGGCTGGCAGCTCCGGCCCGCTCTTCAACTTCCGAACACGTCTGGGTGCGGTGTAGCTTTGGAATGACCGGAGTGGGGTCTGGAACGGGCGGGCCATCAAATTCTCTCTCCCGCTCTCAATCCAGTCTCTTCTCTGTTTCCCTCTTTCTGGTTTCTTTGATTCGGCCTTTGTTTCCCAGGAATAAGGATCTGGGTCTAAGGTTTGGAACAAAGGGTCTGGAACAAAGTTACCGCAGGTGATTATTATTCTTTTATACATAAATCAAGGTGATTGTACTTGTATTATATGAGATGCACATGTAATAACTTCATGGGCTGCTCTTCTTTCGAGATCGTTTTCTGATCAACGTGTCGACATGATCATTACTATCGTGCATGAGTGGAAGCCAATCAATCGTAACACATTTGCATGACATTGGAACTTCCAGAATATCAGACAGCTGGCACATTCAGTGGCCTGTCAAGCAGCAACTCACTCACACACACAAAAACAGACAAAGGACCGCGCCCGATGATTTTCCTCGCGCCTGTACCTCATCTGGTCGTCCAAGACACACCTTGCCCAAGCAGCATGCAGAAGGTGAGGAATTCCAGCTGGATGCGTGAGAAATGGAGCCTTGAAGCGCTCAGCAACTTCACAACTTACGACTTTGTACAGGCCGCCTCAAATGATTCTAGCAGAAACACTCTTGTCCGTGGACTTTTTCCAGTCTCTGAAAGAGACTGCCAGAGGCGGCACACAGGCCGGGGTGGCCTGTCGCCTTTCACCTTACTCGCCGCACGATTTTCGCGCGCAAATGCACGGCTGTCTGCCCCTGCAAACAGCTTGGCCCAGCCTTATGTCTCCAACTCTGCATATCAGGTGTTTGGGGAATCCAGCCCTTGAACGTTTATCTTGCAAGAGAGCTCTTTGAAAGTGCTGGGCATGTCTGCGCTCGGCCTCGCTGGCCGCGGAAAATTGAGCAAATGGGTTTTTGACAGAGACGCTGAGACGCTCACACCAGGATCTCAGCACCTGCCTTGCGAAACTTGTAGTGGACAATTTGCTTGGCATCATACACCGGCACGAAAATATCGGCGAAGCCATCATGGTCCACGTCACTGATGGAGGGTCTGCCAATGTCCCCGCCAAGATAGCTGACCTTATTTTTGCTGTACCGCCAGTCCTCCGTGGAGTCTGACATTGGCGTCAGCAAGAAGATGCTGTTGGAATTGTCCCCCGACACAAAGATCGACGGCTTGCCCTTCATCTTGATCTCTGGCTGAAAGGCCAAAGCATCACCTGCAAATGCCCAACATGTCTAGTCGTTTTGGCTGCCAAATCTGTGCATCGCAAGTGATACGCACCAAGCACGTAAAAATACGACCCAACATTGCACATGCTCTGCAGGTGAAAACACCAGTGGCTGCACCCCCCCCTTTGAGCGCGCCTGGGGAGGCCTTGCCCTTGTCTACCTTGAAGGGAGAGAAGCCTGTAGCCAGCACGTGGCGCGACACATTGGCTGTCTCCAAATCCTCGCTGTCGAAGGTGTAAGCGAAAACTGAGCCGTTCACCGCTGCATGGTTGGTGACCAACAAATCCAGGTGCCCGTCCTTGGACCAAAGTCTGCTGGAACTTGGCAAGAAGATTGTCTGAAAGGAATCCATCTAACATGATTGATCATGTCTGCTCTGTGGACTCAGCTTGCAAGCTAGCTCGGATGCCAAATCTGCTTTGGGCTTCTTATCCTTCATGCATTTGAAGCCACACTTGGATTTGTTCAACGCAAGAACATGGGCAACCCAATGCAACCGATTCTCGCAGTTGCGCTCGCAGCAGCCTTACGCTAAACATGCAAGTGGAACTCACAAAAAGCTTGGCCCGCATGGGGCCAGGTTCCGTCTTGCAAGTTGCTACAAGGCGCATATCCCAGTCCCTAGCAAAACGCACGCGTGGACCCAAACCCATGCCGTTGGGGGCAATTTTGTCGTGTCGGGCGAGGAGCGTTGTTCAAGTCCTCCCAGGAACAGGAGAAGCCAGGGCCCATGGAGCTGTCCAGTTCACGGCTCTTCATGGTGCTGTTTTTCATGAACCAGTACACCACCTGGCAGTTGCCGCATGAGTCTGACTTTAAAGGGCAGCGCATCTCCATACTGACCAACTTTTGTGGGGTGTGAACGGCAGCACAGCGAGAAGCAGGCTGAATAGATTGCGCCAACCCGTCGTTGAGTCGAGCAACTGCACAAAGGCCCAACTCTACAACACCGAGCCTTGCCAGTGATGAATTCTGGGGCCACCAGTGAGAAGCTTTTGCCCGGGCGCACGCAGAAGAGAAAGTCTGGCCCGGCTCCAAGTTGATGTTCTTGCCAAGGCTCACCAGACAGGGCGCCCTTCAGGGGCTGATTTGCAATCGAATACATGGACTGCCCGGTGGCACGACCTCCAATGCGCTCACTTCTAAAAGGGATCGCGCATGACAACAGGCAAATACAGTACATGGACAAGATGGTAAGAGGTGCTGTAAACAAGGGAATACCGTAAAGTTCACTCAAATAGTGTGTGTGTGTGTGTGTGTGTGTGTGTGTGTGTGTGTGTGTGTGTGTGTGTGTGTGTGTGTGCAAGAACGCCTTATGAGTCACGTATGTGGCCCCCATCCTGCGCAGGCTGCTTCAGCCACACCAGCTCGCCTCGTTTCTTGGCCCATGGCCACACCGAGTACCTGAGGCTGGCAGCTGCTCTTCCCCCGATTCAAGGCACAGCATTGATCCCAAGTGGCTGCCGTAGGACTGTGGTTCTCAAGGCAGTCCAATTCTTCAAGCGCTGTCCGTAGCGCGGCCAGAGTCATGTGATTTTTGCCCTGTGCACATCTGCATGTAAACTGCCCAAATACAGGAGTGAACGCCGCGCAGAACAGGCCACGCTACGCAATCATCGCTGCAGCAGTACTGTGCAGCACCATCGTTTGAATGATTGTTCAAAGCATGAGTTTGATGGTCTTTTGCAAAACAAGATATATAAATATACATATATTGTAGCTAGAATCTGAACCAATACCTTGCCTGCTTGTTTTGTGAGTTCAGTGCGTGATGCTGGTTGCCAAGTTGGCAAGTGCACGCGTTTGCTTTGCAGGAATGCATTGACTTTTGTGCGGCCGAAGAAACAACATTCAATTCAAGGTGTGCGTCGGGTTTGTCAACAGCACTGGTTTGTTCTGGATGGTGGCTCAAAGCCGGCTTCTCCGCAAGCAACATCTCGTAACAACAACTGCCTCCTGTCCTTGAAATGCTGCACCAAAGTTGGACGGATAGCAGTGCAATACAATCTTCACACCTGCCGGTTGGCCTTGTGTGGCTGAGTGGACGAATTAGAATTCAATTGCCCAACGCCCAAGTGGTGCAAGTCTGAAACCAGCAAGTGCTTTCAACTTTTAGCTCTACAAAGCCCTTGCATCATCTCAGTCCCTGCAACTCTGCAAACAAACACTGGTGCCTCGGAATTGGGAATCCAACCAAATCAAGGGTCAGTTCACCCCGAAGGTGATGTTTGGTGTAAGTCGCCACAACCGGGGCTAATTACTACTCCCTGCCCAACCAGTTTAGTGGGAAAACCGTAATGCTCAAAGACAAAATGTCAAGACCCGACCCAGCATTCAAGCAAGCTCTTGTTGAAACACCCCATTTGCTTCTGGCCAATATCTGCAAGGCGGCTGGCAGCGAGCAGTCACGACATCATCGAGCCCATCTCCATCCATGTCCACAAAGTGAGCCTCTCCCGCTGGAGGGAAGTGTTAAGCTGCGCTTCGTAGCATGTAAATCGAAGGATCCCCGTGGCAATACAAGCACTGTGCTAAGGACATAGCCGTCAAAGGGCCTTGCCCAAACTATCGAGTGGCCAAAACAAGCAACAATATCCTCCACACACGGTTGTTCAACAAAAAATGCTTCCCTTCACCGCGGAACTTCACCAGGGTCACGGGCGGGGCAGCAGCATTGACACTACGGAGTACACCCCACAGTGACATGAAATTAGAGCTCAGGCCCAGAACGAGCCACCTTTCCGGCCCACCAGCATCTTCTTGGACCCCGGAACTTTGCATGTGTATTGTTCTCTTGCAAGCAAGCTACACTACTCGCCGCTGTCCAAACACTGCAAGTCCATAGTACAGCAATTGCAACATGGGTGTGTGTTGCTTTGAGGTGCCCATTTCGGAGTTGGGTTGAAGGAAGACCAAAGGGAATTCTCCCAAGTGCATCGGGTCCCCCAACAACACGGGGGACACTCCCATCCTTCTCCTAAAATCCTTCCCAAAACGGTGCTTAAAACCACCCAACCACAAAGGGAACCATTGGGACTGCAACATCCACTCCGGAGCCGCTCGCCTGGTGATAGAACCACCCGGAGTCCGGCAGCTTCTCGGACTGGTCCTTGGTAATCTTCACCTCAGGCCGACCCAGATCCTTTTGGGCCATTTGGGTGTGTCTCTTTTTAGGGGACCCCCTAACATGTTGGATGTCCTCCTGGTTTTCCTTTAAAACCACACAAAAGGGGTCCCATGTGTCACAGGCGGGGAATCAGGGATTTCTTTGGGCCAAAACAGGGCAAAACAAAAGGTCAGAAAGCACGGTTGGAAAACGGCGCCTTCTCCATTTTGTGAAAGGAACAAATGCAACGGTCGACCTCCCCGACGGGTTTTGGGGTTGACCAAATATACTGACGGTGTTGAGTGGGTTGACCATGCTTTGCCCGAAACGACCGAACAAAAGGGAAACAAATAGGGGTCTGACCCCCGTCAGCCTGAGGGATCCTGAAGATTGTGACCTTGCCGCAACCAGTACACTGGGCAAAAGCAGGGATTTCAACTTCAGCTTGGCGTGAAAGCTTTGAGATCTTTTGAACGACATTTGACTTCCAGCTTGGGAGGCAATTCACCTTGGACGAAGCGTGGCATTGTTCGGGTCGTTCACACCAGCTCATCCCCAAGCCGAGCCGCGGGAGCCTTCAACTTTGTAGGCTCTGGCGAAGCCTGCGCCCACTCGCTTGAAACGAGATGGGAGTCACCCGGCTTGTCAAACGGACGTCCAAAGGCAACGTGAGATGCACCGACTTTGACATGTCAAAGCAGAAAAAAAGCAGCAGCCCCAGAACAAATTCTATTCATCTTCATGAAAGATCCAAATACCTTCTCAAATTCAAACACAAGGTAGTTGTTGTGCATGTTACATTGCAGCTCGCTGGCCAATCACAATTGGCAAGCGTTGTCAAAGTTTAAACCAAATGAGTGGTGCCGAACATAGGGCACATAAAACCCTACTAACAAACCGCTTTCGCGGAACCTTTAGCGCTGCATTCGCGCCACACGTTTCACTTTCGAGGGTATGTGTTTTGTAATGATCACTTTCGCAGAGCTTTCGCGGCGGGCTCTTCTTGAACTACTTTGGCCGCAAGCTTTCGCGGGATGAGGGGTTTTGGTGCTGCCCAAATGATGATGATTCCGTTCCAGAGAGAACCTCTTCTCCCAAAGGCACATTCTTAAGCAACAAACTTAGAACCTGTTCCAGTTCTTTTCTTTGGTATACTGATTGAAGGATTGCCCAGTGTGCTAGCATTGTCCAACAACCGCTTTGTCTGTCTCTGTGCATCACTCACAAGGGCAAAACAAGTCCGACATTGCTCAGCACTCATCATATCTCAACATTAGAGGAATCGAGTAGGTCAAGGAACGCATCATCACGTTGTCACCCACGCTCTCCAGAATTCCGCGTCTTTTGGGTCAAACCAAACAGACAGGCCCACCAAAGATTGTTCTCCGTCCGGTGGTCGAAAGACCTGGGTGCTTGGGGCTACTGTTTCACTAAGGACACCTAGCCAACAATGTGCAGGGGCCCTTAATGCAGGAATCATTACCCTGACCCACAGCTAGACCGGGATGCTTCTGCACTCGATAATCCCAAAAAGCGCAACACGCACAGGCGTGCCTCCATGACGTAAACTCCGCCTAGCGGCAATGAAAATTAGAACCCTTGGAATTCAACTGACTAGCAAGCACGTGAGCAAAGTCTAGGTTGCCTGTTGGAATATTTGTCCTGGCAAGCGTGAGCCAGCAAATGATGGCGAATACTTCTGTGTCCAAGACGCTCCACCGTGACGCTCTACTTCTGGACTCTGCTGGCTGACATCTATTGCTAGCCAACTGCTCATCTCTGCACTACACACATGGCTCACAGGGCATGTCTGTTCCATGGTCAAAAGCTGCTAGCATCATGGACCTCTGTGGACGCTTTGGAGGGCCCCTTGTTGAACTCTGTTCGTGGAAGGCATGTTCTTTCGACTTCTCCTAAGCTTCAGAGACATTCCAACCTTCATAGCCTCCCATTGGTTCTTTGATAGAAAACCGCTGCTGAATAAAGTGGCTCTGACAGCAGGTAGGCACGCTCGATGGCACGCTCGGCCTGTGGTGTGCGATGGCACCAGGAAACCGTTGCCGACAGCTATGGCGGTGAATCCGAAAGTGCTTGAATTCACCACTGTGATGCCTTGGCTGCAGGCTTTCACGAGTACCAACACTGCTTGCCTGTCACAGATTGCAAAAGCAATGGGATCAGCGAGCTACACGCTCAAAAGGGCTCTGTGGACAAGCCAGTTTGACATGCAGCAACTAGGCAACCTGAGCTGCTTTCCCCCGCAAACACACGTGGCCAACAACATGCTTAAACAAAAATGCTCTTATGAATCATGAACATGTATTTCAATACAATGAAACACAAACCATTGAATTGCATCACTAAAGGTGGGCTTGTCCCTTCGTTTCGCAGACTTCTGATATGCCCGCAAGCCAAAGATGCAGTTGGGCCAATTGATCTGCCCGCTGCCAGGAAGCTCCTCAAAGCTGCCGCAAGCTTTGGAAATTAGCTGGACACAAAGGCAAACAAAAAGGAAACCTCCCGCTGTGGGGTCTCAGGTTGAGACACATTCACGTATCTGAGCCTGCTGGTCGTGCTTCTTCTGTTAAGAACAAATAACGCGGCTGACGTAATGCCCAGACAACAGTCACGTGCAACTCGACATGACTCCTCTGCAGGCCCAGCAGGACCAGAACCCACATCCGCCATGAACACTCCTTGGTCGGAAGGGGATATAATAATTATTCAACTTACAACTTGTCAATATCGGGATCTATTCCGCAAATGTTGGTAGCGTGGTGACTTGGGCCTTGCAAGCGTTGTCACATCACTGGAACAATCCAAGGTCACAGTCGCAGAAGCCTTTGCACAAGCAGGATTTGCAAGTTCGGGGAAACAAGGCGAACGCGCAATGTGAGTTGAAAAGGCCAACGCATAAACCTTGTCGACAGCCAACCGATGACAAGGTCATGCAAAGTACACGAGCAGCGCCAGGACAGGACCATCATGAAGCACACGACTTTGCAAACACACAATGCGACATGCTTTGCTCAGGCAAAACATCTTTGGTCTGACCATGGCCGATGGAAAACGCCCTAGCGGGCTCACGAGACCAAGAGCCCCAAAAGGCATAGTGTCCAAATTAGAGACACCTAGGAATCGGGAGACCAGGGCACCGTTCTTGGCGAAGATGGGCATCCCCTGGAAGCTGGTCACCAGTAGCTTGCCCGGCAGCTGCGGGGAAAGTGCCTGAGATCCCCAAGGGTCACAAAATTGGTTGCCAGGCTGCCAGGTTTCAGCATACCAGCACCTGCATCTCGGGAACTAAGGGGGAATGTATCTATGTAATGTATATATATATATGCCATTTGTGCCTTTGCGCACGCCACACACTCTCCTGACAAGGCCTATTCCAATCTTCCCCAACAACGATACTTCAGAGGTGGGCCTTTGATTTGTCGTGCCAATCTGCAACAGGTGCTTAGCTCAGGACCCCGGGTTTCTCATGGAGGCGAAAGCACAGCAACCCCGTATATTCGCAGAGACAACCTCTAAACTTTAGACCCTTTTGCCGCGATTGCCTTTTCGAGCACCACATCCTCCTGCTTAGCCAAGCTTCGGTGTACCCAGGAGGAAGCGGCACAGAAATGTTCTCCTGCCCAGGCCGGTAACTAGCGGCCCTAAACAGGGATCGCACAAATGGGGCTGTTTTGTTTCTGCCTGAAACAGCCTGAAATCCAAACCCGTTACGGCGTCCCCCTAAGGGCTCACTGAGGTGAGAAGGGCATTCATCACGTCTGGGCCTGTGATTACGCAGCTTGGGATACTCATGTTGCCATTTTTGTTGCGCGGCAGACTCTCAAATGCGGCGAACCCTTTCAAGTTCTCATCCATATCACAGGTGGGTTGGGTCAGTGCCCTGTAAAGCGCCGGTCCTGCCTCAATATACAGGTCATACTGCGTGAGGCTTGCTGCTGGGCCAACCAGCAGCAAAGCCCACCTGCATGGACAGGTAAGACATATTCATTATTTTTGTGGGATGAAACCATGGATATGCCGTTCATGCCAATCGCATGTTGTGTTTTCTGTCTCGTTCATGGACTGAAGTTCTTTTGAATAGACCTTGCTGCTATCACCCTAGACACGTCAGGTTATGCCATATTTACTTTGGCTCGTCGTCCCACAATTCCTCTGCACGGAAAAAACAAGTGGGCTGCCACAAAGGACTTCCGATAACCCAATCCTCATGTGCACGCAGCTCCGGCGAATGCGGTTTTAACACTCACAGCTGTCGTTCGCATGAGGAAACCTCATGGGAGTTGCGCATCCCAAAGCCCCCACCTCCACGCCATTCTTCAGCCCGGATGCGGACTCCAGAGCTGAGAGCCGAAGCTGCGTACAAGTGGCGACGGGCCAAGGCAACCTGCGCCATCTGGGGGTTTCATGTCGGACCTCAGTCTCACTGTCGGATTGCTCCTTTCTTGGCGAGCAATAAGATGTCAGAAGGGAGCAGGTGATGCCGAACACGTGATAGCACACTGGACAATAACTCATCCTTGATACTGCAAAATATCAAGTCAGTGATGCCCTATGACACAGTATCAAATCTTTCTGTGCCTGAACATTGAAATGCGTGCCATAGTTGTGTAATGTATATATGCCTTCAGCATCTGAACAAGCTATATCGAGGCTTCTCTCAGAAAGCAACTCACTTGAATGTCTCTCAAATGGTGAGCCCCCTGTTGGTCCGTTTGTCTGGGAAACCCAAAAGAAACCAACCCATTTTAGGGGACCAATTTTGAGAGTCCCGCGTTGATTCTGGCGATTGCATTGAGCCGAAAGCCTGGGGTCTGAAGCATCCAGCGCCAACTCATCAGACGCAAACAAACGGCACTTCCCAGCCTACAGCGACGCCCGCGGTGATGCCAAGGACTTGCCTTATGCAAAACATGCAGCCATCAACGAAAATGCTTGACCTTGGTCATACC